AAATGCCCCATGGTCCTCTTTTGGAGATACCCATTTTTCTCCATTTCCCCTTTCTCGAACTCATCTCGAAATACCTTCCATTCCTCTTCATCTTGAAAAATGACCTTTTCTTCTTCATTCTTGAATTAGTAACTTCAAATTGCAAGTCACAAATCCGAACTTTCAACCTTACATTAAAGCCTTGCATTGCTTTTTCAAATTTTCAAATTGCTTTCTCAATAATTTCGAATCATCCATCCATTCATCCATCCTTGCAAATTCTTCTCTCCAAAGAAAATTGACTGTGAAGGATTTTGGGGAATTTCAATCAACCTGCCTCCTTGAAAAGGAATCCAAGTGCCCCTTGTGCCTTCATAAATCCCTCACATCACACCCATCATCGAAATTCAAGCGCCATTTTTGCCACTAAACCCAGCAGCACTTGATTCTTGAGCTTATTAAATTTTGGAAAAAAAAAATGGTAAGTTGAATCTTTGTGCATGCGTACTAAAGGGGTAAAGAGTGCGGCAGGATTATTGCAATCAATATCTTTTAAGGATAGAAACCGATAAAAGAGAAAGCAACTCAAAAACTTTAACAATTTAATTTTTAAAGATAGATTAGGGTGATGGGAATGAAACGAGCGCTCACATATCTTTCCAAAAATAAAAAGTTTGTAAGCCTCAGCCAATAAGTGTTGCATACTGTTCGAAAGCGCTAAATCTCCTTTACAAAATCATGCAAAAAGATTTTGAAAACATTCCAAACACCCTAATGTTTAGTGGAAAGATAAAAGTTGAAGATAGAAGCGGTGAGGTGAGGCTATTTTTTTTCGGGCCGCTTTCAAAGTGATCGCTTATCAGCACAGGGATTAGTGCAGAACGAGCTGCTTTGTCACCGTCTTTCTAACCGTTCTCTCATCATTCCCGTGTCATTTAATAGTTTTTCTATATTGAAAATGCTTAAACATTTCTCGAAAATCGACGAAAAGTCGCCTGAAGAGGTGAAGGGAGTTTTTTTTCTTTTGAAGAAAAACACCGGGTTCACTTCTTTCTATAGTTGATAAGAAAAGTGCTTTGTGTTTTGGGTTAAATAGTTGACCATGAAAAATTCGAAGAATCAGTCATGCTTTTCAGCAAAATTTTCTTATTTCTAAATTTCTAAATAAAATTTTGTTATTTTGCTATTTCAAAGCTATCTTACCTCACTAATTGCTATAAATTCTTATGATTCTTATGAGAATGATTCTTATGAGAATGATTCTTATGAGAATCATTCTTACGAGAACCATTCTTATGAGAGCCATTCTTATGAGAATGATTCTTATGAGAATGATCCTTATGAGAATGATTCTTATGAGAATGATCCTTATGAGAATGATTCTTATGAGAATGATTCTTATGAGAATCATTCTTATGAGAATCATTCTTACGAGAACCATTCTTACGAGAACCATTCTTATGAGAACCATTCTTATGAGAACCATTCTTATGAGAATCATTCTTATGAGAATCCTTCTTATGAGAACCATTCTTACGAGAACCATTCTTACGAGAACCATTCTTATGATTTTGTTTCTCTTTCAGACTTTAGAGAACATTTTTTTTGTTGAGTTTTATTGTTAAGCAAAATTAGACTGAGATCTCAGTCATCAATCATAATCTCAGTCTAATTTTGCTTAACAATAAAATTCAACAAAAAAAATGTTCTCTAAAGTCTGAAAGAGAAATAAAATTACAAAATTTACAAGAATTCTTTAAAAAAATGACTTTTAGCCGCATTCAATGTCACCAATGCTATGTCGGCCAACGAAAACGGTTGGAGTGGTGCAAAAGGGGAAAAGCGATTCGTACATTCAACTAAATCAGTATAAACTGATGGAGGAAATTGGACAGGTGAGCTTTTCTTTAAAAAAAAAACAAAGATAACTCTTAAATTTGGCAAAATCAAACCAAAGCATTTTCAGTTTTCTCGTCTTCTTTCTTATGATAAGAATTTGATTTCGAAAAAGTTGATTTTAGAGAGATTTTGATTCGTTATTTCTTTTAGCCTTATATAAAAGATATCACAAATAATATAAGTTAATAATTATCAAAATCAAATAAAAAATAAGCTTATAGATAATAGATTAATCTAATTAACATTTAAAGATAGCTTTACTATGCATGAAACCACTTTATGAAGCCTTTAAAACCCTCATAAGTTCAGATAATTGTTGTTATTGTTTAGTTTAATTTGATACTTTACTAAGTTTGGATACTTTGACATACTGAAATAAATCTAATAAAGATTAATAAACCTAATAAAGAACTTAACCTAATAAAGATTAATAAACCTAATAAAGATTAATTAAATTAAAATTTAAAGACTGCTTTACTATGCATGAAATCACTTTATGAAGCCTTTAAAACCCTCATAAGTTCAGATAATTGCTGAAATAAACCTAATAAAGCCGAGTAACTTGTCTCAGTAATTAGTAATCAGTAAGTAATCTATAATCTAACGACTAGAAAAAGTATTCAAAAATTAAATAACAAATAACTTTTTGAACTTTTGAATAATTTTATTACAGAGGTTTTTAGTCAAAAAATCTTTCAGCTATTCTCAAAAGTCAATCAACTTTTCACAAATCAAGGGGGTGGGACAAATGCGATCTTTTTTTTGCGCACCTGGACATTTGCGCACCTTTTTTTTGCTGGAAAAGGCCTTAGGAAAGGCCGTAGAGCTTCGAAAATATTTCCACAGAAGGGAATCGTATGCGTAGATTCCGAATTTCGACAAATCAAACCTCGCTGACACGTCAAATTTGGGCTAAAAGGCAAAAACTACGCAACTTAACGCTTTTCCGCAGTTTTTGCCTTTTAGCCCAAATTTGACGTGTCAGCGAGGTCTGATTTGTCGAAATTCGGAATCTACGCATACGATTCCCTTGTATGGAAATATTTTCGAAGCTCTACGACCTTTCCTAAGGCCTTTTCCAGCAAAAAAAAGGTCGCATTTGTCCCACCCCCCAAATGAACAAAAACAATAGAAAAGTCTAAAAGAAATTCGAATTTCTCAGTCTAATCCCCGTCAAGAAACCGGATTTTAATTGAAACAAACTATTTTTTTTGTTTCGATTTTTCATGAGAAATTAAAATTCTTTTACGATTTATCATAAATTTCCTTCTTTTTTTTTTGTTTAATGACGGGGATAATCCACCGAATTTTTGCCTGATCTCTATTTTTCAACAAACCCAAAAATAACTTCAATTGTTCTCATTGGATTGATTTTTTTTCTTGCATATCACCTTTTTGTTTCCACGAAATGACTCCAGAATTGATTAATCTTCGGGAAAGAAAAGGATTCTCATTAAAATGAAAGCTTTTTTTGCTTAATGATTGATGACTGAAGGCATTATTTCAAATTTCAAGAAAGCAACATGAAATGACAAAAATTAACCTCGAAAATCACTAGTTTCCTTTATAAAATTCATTAATTTGTCAAAATTTGACATTTGAAATGTCAAGATTTTGATTGAAAATTGAAAATTAATCGGTTCATCGTATAAACAAATGTAAATTTTTAAGTTTAAATTGTTGCTGGGATAGGCTACTTTGCGTCATTTTATTTGCGTAACTAGGTCTTTTGCGCAACACGCCATAACTTTCTTCTAAGTTGACCAATCTTTATGCTTTTGGTTTCATTTTGTTACACTTATTGAGATATACAAAATGACATCAAAATCATAAAGATTGGCTGACTTAGAAGAAAGTTATGGTGAGTTATGGCGAGTGTATTTGCGCAACTCGCCATAATTTTCTTCTAAGTAAGCCAATCTTTATGCTTTTAGTTTGATTTTGTAGATCTCAATAAGTGTAAAAAAAATGAAACCAAAAACATGAAGATTGGCCGACTTAGAAGAGAGTTATGGCGAGTTGCGCAAATAAAATGGCGGAAATTGGCTACCCCATTCTTGTTTTTCATTTCATTTCATTATTTTTGCGTACCTCTTCTAATTTGCAGGTGTAAAACAAAGCGCACAAATTTCGTTCTTTCATTCTTGTGGGATAGGCTACTTTGCGCCAAATTTTTTGCGCAATTCGCCATAACTTTCTTCTAAGTCGGTCAATCTTTATGTTTTTGGTTTCATTTTTTTTACACTTATTGAGATCTACAAAATCAAACTAAAATCATAAAGATTGGCTTACTTAGAAGAAATTTATGGCGAGTTGCGCAAATACACTCGCCATAACTCACCATAACTTTCTTCTAAGTCGGCCAATCTTTATGATTTTGGTGTCATTTTGTTACACTTATTGGGATCTACAAAATGACATCAAAATCATAAAGATTGGCTGACTTAGAAGAGAGTTATGGCGAGTTTCGCAAACGACCCAGTTGCGCAAAAAAAAAAGTTGCGGAAATTAGCCTATTCCTTGTTGCTTTTAAAATCGAAATGTTTCTTGTTTCATTAGAAAAAGCTATAAAATTAAAAGCTAGGATTGTTTAGTCATTTTGTCTTCATATTTTCACTAAATAACATGTCATCTTCAGGCTTTAATTTGCGTAAAGGACAAAAAAAGCAAATTAATAAAGAAAAATGAATGACCTTTTCCTTTTGAAATGTTTACTTATGACAAAAAAAAGCAAAAAAACCCAAAAAAATTCTCGAAACTTTCCTTTAACCGCTTTACTATGCATGAAAACACTTTATGAAGCCTATAAAACCCTCAAAGCTTTACTTTTGTTTGGATGATATCGGTGACGCTAATGCGAATCGACAAGAGACACTTAAAAGGAGAATTTTCTTTCTCTCATCATTTCCGCTGATTAATAAATAAATGAAGTTGGCCTCAGCGGGAAAAAAAGCGGCAAAGAAGAGCCGAGATTCTCGCTCTCGCTCTCCCTCTTATCACTCTCCAGTGTACCCTCAATCTCTTCGCATTCCCCCGCCCACTTTCCTCTCCACGCATTGCTCGTTTTCTTTTATTCTAAAGATTCAAGATTCTTGCCACAAAACGATTTCACACATTTCTCAATGACGCCGACTTTTGTCATCCCAAGCCTCGAGGTTGATCTGCCGTTCGTTGATGATGAGGCTGATGAAGAGTTGAGCCGTTTCCTTGGCTCAACGACTTTTCTGAAAGCAAAAGGACTCACTGGGCTGCAGCCGCCGCGCTCGAAAACCCCGTTGCACTATTCAGCCTCCGACTATTGCAGTGTTCGCGAGGAGATGCCCCGTCCGCACAGCGCTTGCGCCGCTATACCCCACACTTCGTATTTTTGGATTGATCGAGAGAATATCTTGGCCACGGTTTGTTTTTCAACACTTTCTCGATCTCGAATTTTTTCTTTAAGAAGCACCTGGTTGTTGTCTTGGTTTTGATTCTTAATCATCAAATTTTATTTGTTTCTCTGCCTTCTAACTAAATAGTTGTCTCCTAACTTCCCTGCCTCCTTCTTGCTATCAAAATTTCATTGTCTAAGCGAGAGAAATTGTATTTTCGGGAAGGAATTTTTTATAATTTCATTTTCTAGTCGACAAAAATTGTATTTTCGGAAAGAAATTTTTTTATAATTTCATCTTTTATGGGCGCAATTCTGAAACGCAATTCTGAAATTCTGAAGGGAAAATTGAGGGAATTTGCGGGATTTTTTTTTCTGAATTCATACTCAATTCTAAGAATATTTAAATGAAAAATTCCTTTTATAGAGGAAATTTATTCTTTACTTAATCAGAAATCATTTTCAAAGAAACAATCAATTCTTGGGAACTGCCAGAAAAGGGAAGAAGCAAAAGGGAAGAACCAAAAGGGAAGAACCAAAAGAGAAGAACATTGATGAGTCAAGGAAAACAAAAAACCCAATAGAATTTTGTGAATGTAATTATTAAGAAACGGGGATTCTTGGTTTTTCTTTCATTTTTCTTTAAGATTTCCCAATTTCCAGTGCAATTTCCCGTTGTCAAAGCATCAATTTAAAAACAAATATTGGATTGAAGAAAAAGGGTTTAAAAGCCTTGCTTTACCCCTTTGTCATGTCTCTTTTCTTCTTCTTTTGTTTCCTAGAAAAGTCTCGTTTTCCTTTTTCTTTTCGTTTTTCTCTAAAAGTAATCCTCCACACGTTGAAATATGCATTAAAGAAGCCCTCGTTAATCCTTTTTTTAATTTCTTTTTCATCTTTCAACTCATAAAACAAATACATCAAAATAATAGCAAAGGAAATAGTCAAATTTTTTGACAAAAAAATCAGAGTGGGGTTTTTTTGATTAGGTTTGAAAGAAAGTTCGTAGAAAAGTAGAAAAAGTTTGCACGGTGATTTCTTAAAAACCAAGCCATCAATTCTTCTCAGATTTTTCGATAAACTTGATTATATTTCAAAAAGTTTTAGACAAAAAAAAAGTCAGAATTGGCTTCAGGTAAAAAAAAAAAGAAGAGATTTCCTGAAGCTAAAGCTGAAGAAATTGAAGTAACTTGATCATTTTTTGAGTGGCCAGCCTTTAGACAAGTTTTTAATTGGTTAATGGATAGACAATGGGCCTCATTCAAAACCTAAAATGAAGTACTTAAAATAGGGAAAATTGTCACTAGGTCACTTTTTGAGTGGTCAGCCTTTAGACAAGTTTTTAATTGGTTAATGAATAGGCTGTGAAGCTGTGAAGCTTCAGCTGAGACACACTGAAAGGACTTGAATACCGTAAGCTTTGATATTACAATGTTTTAGCTTTACACAAAAAGCAGATTTCCTCAGCTGAAGTAACTTGGTCAACCTTTAGACAAGTTTTTAATTGTTTAATGGATAGACAATGGGTCTCATTCAAAACTTAAAATGAAGTACTTAAAATAGGGAAAATTGTCACTTGGTCACTTTTTGAGTGGCAGCCTTTAGACAAGTTTTTAATTGGTTAATGAATAGGCTGTGAATTCCATTCAAAAACTCGACAAAAAGCTGGAAATGAGAAACATGAATTAAAAGAAAATAAAAGCTTTTGATAGGTTAAAAAAGAGACTGCTTAAGAAATTGCTTAAGAAATTGCTCAAATTTCAAACTTTAGGGTTCTTATGGAATTGTGAAACTTGCATACAATGAACAGGACAAGAACTTGTATGCGATGAAAGTTTTGGACAAGATGAAGCTACTGAAGAATTTCGCTTGTTTTCGTATGTTTCAAAGAGGTTGAATTGAAGAAAAAGTTGAGCTTTCAGGGCAACCACCAAAACGGCAACGCTCGGCAACAGCTCAAATGAAGAATCCATTGCAATTAGTGCAAAAAGAGATCGCAATTCTCAAGAAACTCTCGCATCCGAATGTGGTGAAACTTGTCGAGGTTTGCAATCGATTTTTCTATCTTTACTTTAGCTAGAATTCCTTTTTGATCTCTAGGTACTCGACGATCCGAATGACAACTATTTATATATGGTTTTCGAATACGTGGAAAGAGGCTCGATTCTTGAAATCCCCACCGATAGACCTCTTGATGAGGACACTGCTTGGAAATACTTTAGAGACACACTGAAAGGACTTGAATACCGTAAGCTTTGATATAACAATGTTTTAGCTTTACACAAAAAGCAGATTTCCTCAGCTGAAGTAACTTGGTCAGCCTTTAGACAAGTTTTTAATTGGTTAATGAATAGGCTGTGAATTCCATTCAAAAACTCGACAAAAAGCCGAAAACTCGAAACATCAACAGAATTTCTTAAAGAGCATTTTTTAAATAAATAATTGAACTTTCTCATAAAAAAAAATCATAGCTTGATTTTTTTTATTATTCATTTTAGCAAGTAAACTTTTCAAAAAGTGCGCAAGATTTTCAAATCAAACTGTTTCCTTTTGCAGTTCACTATCAAAAGATCGTTCATCGAGATATCAAGCCAGCAAATTTGCTTCTGAGTGAAACGGGTCATGTAAAAGTAAGGAGAATTTTCGAAATTTCGAAATCAAATCTCAAATTTCAGATAGCTGATTTTGGGGTTTCTTGTGAGTTTGAGGGGATCGATGCGTTTCTTTCTGGAACGGCCGGCACTCCAGCTTTCATGGCACCCGAAGCGCTGACAGGTAGCCAAGAATGGTATCTATTTTCTCTAATAGTGCACTGTACCGAGCCGAGTTGATGACGATTTTACAGTTTCCAATTTTTCGCAGAGACTCAACACTCAAATCCCCCACAAGATCTCATCGTTAGCTACATTTTCCGATCTCACATCGATAGGTTCTAGTAAGCGGTTCTCGAGATTTCGAGGAATTTAGGCAAAGCTTAGGGTGCACCATTATTAGAGAAAATACGGTAAACATCTGGCTGGCTTTGAAAAATCCTACTTATCAACGTTCTCGCAACAAGCAATCAGTGTAAGGGATAAATGTCTGTCTCTCGAATAACTGGTCGTGGTCTCACACATTTTAGCTTAATAGCTTAGCTCAAAGCAAAAACTCAAAAAGATTTCGAAAATCCCGTATTCCTCTAATAGTAGTGCACCCCGGTGAGCCGAGTTGATGACGATTTTACAGCTTCCAATTTTTCCCACAAGCTCAACACTCAAATCCACCACAAGATCTCATCGTTAGCTACATTTTCCGATCTCACATCGATAGGTTCTGATAAGCGCTTTTCGAGATTTTGAAGAATTTAGGCAAAGTGCACTACTATTAGAGAAAATACGGTATTTCGATAATGATATTTAACCTTATTTTGAAACAAAATAAAATTTAGAAGATGCAAACCATTTCTACAGCGGAAGAGCTCAAGATATTTGGTCTCTTGGCGTTACTCTTTATGCCTTTGTGATTGGAAAAGTAGAAAGATATAAAGAAATAAAAAAAAACAAAATAACTCTAGGTGCCTTTCTGGGATCCATACGTTATCGCTTTACATCGAAAAATCAAAACGGAACCTGTCGTCTTTCCAGAAACGTAAGCACAAAGATTCGATTGTTAATAGTAAGTCAGATTGTGGAATGAGATACGTGTCAATGTAACTCATTGATAGTGTCTTCAGTCATTAGGCGAGAGGTTGCGGGTTCGATTCCTGGCGCAGATCATTTTCTTTTGCCAACCGAAAACCGACGTATTCAAATGAAACTTTTTAGACCATTCATCAGCGATCTTTTAAAGGATCTCATCTTTTGCATGCTCAAGAAAGACCCAGGACTTCGATTAATGTTAAACGAAATCAAGGTAAACTACTATATATGTGAACTAAGATTTCTGTTCGTTTGTCTGTCTGTGCGCGCTGCTCCTCAGCCCCCAGAGGCCCGTTTGCAATGATTTTTGTGCCGTTGAATAGGGAATTACAGGATGTCCGAAAGAAAAGTGGTCATCGGTTTGAGTCTGGAAAAATTTTCTCGTTGATTTTTCAAGGCTCATCGTCGTGTCAGAATTGGCTTTTCCTCAGGCGTCACACCACAAGATCAAGTTGATTTTTTCGATGATTTTATGAGTGATAATTGATAATTTGTCATGCATCGAGCGAAGAGCTCAAAATGCTCAAAAGAATGCTCAAAATCAAAATGCTCAAGATGCTAAACACACTTTTGAATTCCTCTATTTCACCACACCTCAGGTGTCACAGATGAAGTTGACAAAATGAAGTTGATTTTTTGTTGACAACACAAGATCAAGTTGATTTTTTCGATGATTTTGTGAATGATCAAATGATGTGAAAACTCATGCATCGGTCGAGGAGTTCAAAATCCACGTATCAATGAAAAACAGACCTTTGAATTCTTCTATTTCACCACAAATCCTACAATTTGTTTTTTCTTTTAATATTCAAGGCACAATTTCAGTTTGTATTGTTGGATTGACTGTTTCAAAAATCTTGAAAATATGGCTAATTTTTAAACGAGAAAACCCTCTTGTTGCTGCTTACCCAGGACCGACTTTTTGCGGTCCTGGGTAATCGATGACCGATCGAGGACCACTTTTTTTTCGGACAACCTGTACATGTACACTACTGGAAAATGAAATATTATATTTGAAAAAAGATCGTCACTTTCGCGCGTCTGTAACTCCATTGTCTTTACCGTATTTCTAAATATTAATATTACCATTGTGTAGCCCTTGAAAAGAGCTTTCAGAAAATGTATAACACTAATAGTTTAAACTCAAAGACAAGGGGAGTTACAGACGTGCGAAAGTGATGATCGTTTTTCAAATATGATATTTCATTGTCCAGTGCTGTAGTTGTGCAAAGTGCTTCTGGATTTTTTAAAAAGCACAATTCGAGTCGACCTCCCCGTGCGGGGAGGTCGACTCCGGATCCGTATGGGGCATAGATCGGCACGCGATCCACTGCTCCACAGCGACAAAAGCCGCCCATTCCCAAAACAATTCCCAAAACCTCCAGAAAAACCAGCCTTTAGGCGTAAGCCAATCAACGTAATTTTAGTCTCATCCATGGGTGACTCGTTTCTGCACGGTTCCAATGCAAGGCGAAGAGGAAAACTGCATGCTAGTCACGGTTACAGGTAAAATAAAAACTATAAAGTTTAATAGGGAATTGATTTCATTTTATCAATTATATAGAATAGAGAATATAATAGAGAAGTTTTAAACAATGATTTACAGAGGAGGAAATCGAGAACTGTGTGCGAGTGATTCCTCGGCTCGACACGCTCATTCTCGTCAAAGCAATGGGACATCGGCGACGCTTTGGAAACCCTTTTCGGTGCGTTTTTTCAGATTTTTATTATACAAATTATTTAGATAAAATACTGTAGAATGTAGAAATTTGTTTAGACAAAACAGTTTAAGCCAAAGTGGTGGCACATTCCGCGAGAGACGCAAATCGAACTCGGTGAAAGATGCGAAATATGTGCCACCTGGGGTCACCATCGAGACGGAAAGAAACGCTGCTGAAAAGTTTGTATTTAATAAGGAAAAAATAAACTAACACTAATAGTTTAAAATATTGGGTTGGTGAATTGAAAACTGCGGGCTATTGTCATATGTGACAGTTTGAGCACTTTCTTCAAAAGAAACCCATTTTGGTGTCAATGGAAATGTTGTAGAGAATGTAGGGAATGTAGTTGTTGTAGAGAATGTAGTTGTAGAGAATCAAAAATCAAGCTTATATCCAAATTTTCAGAACGATTCAAAAACTGGTTTTCAAGAAATGCGAAATTTACGAATTTTCACAAAACTTGCATTTTAAGCGAAACTACTAAGCGTATCTTTTTGGAAATTTGGCTATAAGCCTAATTTTTGATTCTCTGCAACTTTTCCATTGACACCAAAATGGGTTTCTTTTGAAGAAAGTGCTCAAACTGGGACATCTCCAGTCCTCCATTTTTGAGTCTCACACTTGTCTCATGCACAAACCAAAATCAAACCAAAATCCTACTACGAAAGGGGAATCCGCAAATTGCCTGTAAAATGGGCAGAAGTCGTCAATAATCATGGAAATTATATGGAATGAATTCATGGTTTTATGTTGAACAAATTTGAGTTCAAAGTCCCGCAGTTTTCAATTCACCAACCCAATAGAATATTTCAAATATTATTTCAATTTTCTTTTCCAGTGGAGTCAACGAGCTGAACGGTGACATGCGTGGCCTGAGTCTGAACTGTGCTCTCCCAAATGGGAACTCGTCGAGAACTGTCAAGGCAGCAACAGCTCGACAATAAATTCTATTTCTATAATAATTCATTAAACAAAAAAAAATAGTGCCCAGATTGTTTATGAATTCGTTAATGAAACAGTTAATGAATCTTAACAAAATTCGCTCACTTCTAGGTGCCAAAAGCTCATCTTTCCATTCAATCTAAAGACTTTTTGTTCTGCTTTCACCATTCAGAATTCCCATTTTCGTAAAATAAAACGTGGGAAATGTTCGGAAAAGAAAAACGGGTCCAGAAAAAGTGAGATTGCCGTCTAAATGCTTAAATGAAAACTTGAATTAGAAGAAAAAAAAGAACAAGAGATCATCGGCTTTCTTAGATTTTCTGATCTCTTCTCGCAACGAGTGTATATATAACCATATTGTACATTATATTGTACACTTATATTGTACATTTTGTATTCTTGTGTGTGTTTTTTTCCTCTTTTCTTTATTGTGTTTTGTGGAATGTTGTGTTTTTTTTCAGTTTTTCTCTTTCATTTGATCTCATTTTTTTGAGAAAGATCTCTCTGTCTCGACCACTTGCCAAAATAAAGTATTTATTGCCATTATAGACATAAATTAGTGAAGTTTTCATTAAAAACAGAGATATAATATGTTTATATACAGTAAATATACAGTAAATTTTAGTACTTGAATGTGTTTTCCCTCTGAATAACTTCGAAAACATCGTACGGTGCCTGATCCGAGGTTTACAATGAAAGAGATCAATGAAAGAAGCAGCCTAATCTCCAAAAAGCCATTGGATATTACGGCAGAAGTTTACAGAATTTAGTTTATTACTTTAATTACAAAATAAACTTTATCAAAAGCTCTGTATTTTTTGTATAAACTGTAAAAAAAAGCGGTTTTAGGCTGATTGACCAGAGCCTAACCTTTTGCTCGCTTTACTACAGCTTACAGCCTACAGCCTACAGCCTACCGTCTACAGCCTACAGCCTACAGCCTACCGTCTACAGCCTACAGCCTACAGCCTACCGTCTACAGCCTACAGCCATCCACAAAAAGCTCAGTCAATATTGCCTACAACTCTGCCACCAGTTTTCCTTGTGATATATGGCTTTGAAGACCGGTATTTCCCTCTCTTTCTTCCTTGTCCTTCCTATTACTTCTTGGGGAAAGAAGGGTTTCTTCCTAGCTTGAATCAGTGAGAAAATAGCTATATTTTTGCCAAGTTTTTTCACTTTTCCTTTATGCTTTTTAACTAAAGAATCCTTTAGTTAAAAATAATTCACTGGCAAAATAACTCATTTATTCACAAGCATTTATTCACAATCATAAAAATTACGAGAAAGCGAAGAAAATTCATCTAATGTGTTATGCATATCAGTAAATCTTTCAAATATATGATGAAAGGAATCCCAAAGAAAAACAGGATAACATATGAGCTGTTAGTGGGGAGAATCTTCAGAGATAATTGAAAAATGATTGAGAGAAAATGATTGAATCTTCAGACAAAATCTTCAGACATAGCACGCAAAAGTTAAAATGCAAAAAAAAAACAAAAAAAAAATCATTTCAGAGTGAAGATTATCATTGAAAAAGGCTCAAAAGTTTCAACATTCCCGTAAGGATTTTTGAAAAAAGATTTTGGTTACAGCAAAAGTTAAAGTGCCTGAGTGAGTGAGGATTCTTTTGATTGCGGAGGGGAAATTTCGGTCCTTTTCCGCTATACATCCGCAAAAATATACCCCCGATTCTTTCCGTTATAAATCCGCAAAATTTGCATCCTTCCATGAAAATTTGCAAGGAAAACCACAGAAAATTCATTCGTTTTGCTATTTCCGCGGTGGATTTATGTTTCGCTTGTGAACAACTTTGAATTTACCAAGGAATTTACCTTGTACCAAGGCCGATGCAATCTCGTTCTTTGAACAACGCCACATCTTGCTTACTACTCGCACATGCGTCAACCATCACGTTATGAACCTATCGCTCAAACAGAATCCCCGAAAGAGATGTGACAAAACGTCGTGCCGGACAGCGATCGGTTTACGTGTTGGCTTATTGATGGAGGGCACCATTTTCATGAATTCATGGTCCGACAAGAAGTGGGAAAGGACGATTTCTACAATTAGAGGTTATTTTTAGGGATTTGAATGTGACAAAACGTCGTGCCGGACAGCGATCGGCTTACGTGTTGGCTTATTGATGGAGGGCACACTGAATTCATGGTCCGACAAGAAGTGGGAAAGGACGATTTCGGAAAGGACGAATTAGGGGTTATTTTTAGGGATTTATAACGGAAAAGTACCGAAATTTCAGAAAGAGATGCAAAGGAAATGACTAAAATGTGAAGAAAATCACTAAAATTTCTAAGGAAAAGAGTAGGCTAAAGAAATTTTGTACAAAAGAACGAAAAAGATGAGATTTTGAAGCCCAGCTTCTGGCAGTTTGCAAATTTATGACAAATTTAAAACACAAAACTGATTAATTGTAAAAAGAGATTACTGTAGAGAAAAGATATTTCACCTAGGATACTGCACTAAGATTACGGTAAAATGGGGCATTTTTTAGGAAAACCATCCCCGTTCCTCTTTAACGAAAAGCCCATGAATTGTTGAGTAGACAGTTTCCACCGCGCTCACAATCAATTCGATCATCGCCCAGAAAGCGTTTATCAAAAACTCATAAACTAAAGATTTAAATACAACTTTAAAACTAAATTTATTCAATATTCATCTTTAAATCCCTATCAATTGAAAAGAAAACAAAAGAAACTCACTTGCGATAAGGAAATTCGACAGAAAACTGAGATTATCGGTCATGTTGTCCCAGAGTTCGTATAAAGCAGCAAAAATCTGAAATTCATTCGTAAAAGATAATTGAAGAGACTCACTAAACAAAGGAAAACAGTAAAAAATCGACTTTTTTTTTAGTTTTTCAATCAACAACCAACCGCTCCAAAGAAATGATCAACGATAGCGATGGAGAGACGAATCATCACAGCTAATCCTTTGAAAATATTCCCTGTCACCGAAAAGACTCCTAAATTCAACAAAATAAACAAAAATTTTCTTTAGAAAACCATTTTTAATCTCTCGAAAAAGACTCTCAGCTTCTTGTTGTGCTTCGGTGTAGAGATCGTCGTGGAAAGTTGCGCAGAGAGTTGGCGAGAGATCAGTGCCTAATGTCGAGTCCATCCAACTCAAGCCACTGAAATTAATTCATAATCTTTTCTTTAAGTAATCTTTTTGTAATCTTTGTAATCTTTTTGTAATCTTTTTGTAATCTTTTTAACCCTTGTAAGTAATCTTTTTGTAATCTTTGACTCTTGCGTAGTTTTCGGGTATTTTGAAAGAATCTTCCAGATATTTTCAAGCTCTTTTTGGTATCATTTGAAAGCCTGAAATGTCTTCTGTCCAATGATATAAAAAGTTAACAAGAATATGATCTCTGGACAAAGTTATAGGTCTTTAAAGCGTGACGACCCTTTCAAAATACCCAAAACTAAGCAAGAGCCTAATCTTTTGATAATCTTTGTAAAATAATCTTTTTCTTAAGTTACATTTAAAAAGCAAATTGTTTTAGCATATCTACCGGCAAAAATACGTGTCCTCAATCGCATAGAAAGTTTTGCCTACTCGATAGGCGACAATAAATGAGAAAAGTGCCGAGATTACTAACAGCACAGCCACCGCTTTCACAGCAACATCTCTGAAAAGTAAATCATTTATTATTATTTTACCCCTTTTTTATGTTACCTCAAGAAAGGAGCATTTGCTTGAATCTTCTTATAACTTTCAAGTGATTGTTCTCGAGCGAACTCGTACAATTTGTTGGCTCGATCCATGAGTTGCTTAGGCAAATCAAGAACGTAGTCTCGCAAAATGCTCAATTGAGTCAACAAATTAGCCTAAACTTTATACAATTTCTTGTGCAAAACTTTATTTTCCAAAGCTGACTATAGATTCTGCTCACCTCGACAATTTTCTCGGACGGCGTTCCACCGTTGATGATCACCTCGCCATTTGACACATATCCGTTCACTTCAACATCTGAAAATTCATATTTTATCGTAAATCAATGCTGTTTTTTTTAAAAATTTACATACCATATTTTCTCTAATAGTAGTGCACCGCACCGAGCCGAGTTGATGACTATTTTACGGTTTCCAAGCTTTTGCAGAAGCTTAACACTCTAATCACCCACTAGATCTCATCGTCAGCTACATTTTCTGACCCCACATCGATGGGTTCTGATAAGCGGTTCTCGAGATTTCGAGGAATTTAGGCGACGCTCAGGGTGCATTACTATTAGAGAAAATACGGTAAATATCTGGCTGGCTTTGAAAAAATCCTACTTATCAACGTTCTCGCAACAAGTAATCAGTGTAAGGGATAAATGTCAGTCTCTCGAATAACTGGTCGTGGTCTCACACATTTTAGCTTAATAGTTTAGCTCAAAGCAAGCTAAAAACTCAAAAAGATTTAGAAAATACCGTATTCCTCTAATAGTAGTGCAGCCCGGCGAGCCTAGTTGACGACTATTTTACGGTTTCCAAGCTTTTGCAGAAGCTCAACACTCTAATCACCCACTAGATCTCATCGTCAGTTACATTTTCCGACCCCACATCGATAGGTTCTGATAAGCGGTTCTCGAGATTTCGAGGAATTTAGGCGACGCTCACGGTGCACGACTATTAGAGAAAATATGGTAATAATTATTAAAATTTTGATAATATAAATTCTGAAAATCAACCTTTCAGCGATTGTTTATCGACTTCAACGATTGCCTCAAGGACAACCTCTTGAATTGTCGTTTGTGACATTGAATCCTCTGTAAATTGAAAAATTTAACTTTAAACCTTAAAGATTAGAATGAAAACAATAAATATCAGTAAGTTTATTAAAGAAAATGTTAAAAAAGAAAAGCAGGTAATAAATTTGACGAATGAAGGAAGTATCTAGAGGAAGAGAAAGGAGAAAAGACGAGATGAGTGGGTAAGCCGATTGGAGTTGCAAACAGAGGATCCACACACACACAAAAAAAGAGGCTGCAAGATTGAAAGCGATGGGGGGAAAGGGTCGGGCGAAAAAAGGAAGCTTTCATTGGTCTCTCTTTTTTCACGGAACGGCCATTCACCATCGGAGAAACAAAGCTATCGATCGCTATGTGAGGCCAAAAAAAATGAAGAAGAAATTTCTCTGATTTATTAGGTACATGCATAAGAAATGCGGATTTCAACATTTTCATAAATTTTCAACAATAGTAACCTGATATCTTCAATGGTTTGATCAATTGAAAAGCGTTTTAGCCTATTTTGTAGAGGAGATTTACAACTAGACTTACAACTTTCAAATAGTTTATAACATTCATCGATATTCAGGTTTCTATCATTCGAAATTTATGAAAATCAGCATTTCTTATGCATGTACACTACTGGACAATGAAATATTATATTTGAAAAAAGATCATCACTTTTGCGCGTCTGTAACTCCCTTGTCTTTACCGTATTTCTAAATATTAATATTACCATTGTGTAGCCCTTGAAAAGAGCTTTCAGAAAATGTATAACACTAATAGTTTAAACTCCAAGACAAGGGAGTTACAGACGGCGGAAGTGACGATCGTTTTTCAAATATTCTATTTCATTGTCCAGTGCTGTAGTTGTGCAAAGTGCTTCTGGATTTTTTAAAAGGCACAATTCGAGTCGCACGGGGAGGTCGACTCCGGATCCGTATGGGGCATAGATCGGCACGCGATCCACTGCTCCACAGCGACAAAAGCCGTCCATTCCCAAAACAATTCCCAAAACCTCCAGAAAAACCAGCCTTTAGGCGTAACCCAATCAACGTAATTTTAGTCTCATCCACTAATAGTTTAAATCTCATCATAACACTAATAGTTTAAACTCAAAGACAAGGGAGTTACAGACGCGCGAAAGTGACGATCGTTTTTCAAATATTATATTTCATTGTCCAGTACTGTACCTAATAGCTTTTTTTTTGAAAAACATGAAAGATGTAAATTGTTTTTCACAATCAACCTGGAGATTAGGATGGTCCAGAAGTTATTGAAGATTTCTTTACAAACAAAGCAAAAAAGATAAACAAATTGATTAAGATAGATTAAGTGATTTTCGTTACAGTGATCAAAGAATGATTAGGTGTTGTGATTTGACGATTTAGCATCTGTGAGTCGTTGTAAAAAGATTGAAAACCAGGGAAACTTTGTTAAAAAGTGAAGTTTGTCATTGTCTTTGCCAATTTTTTTCTTCACCAACCACTATTTCTACGATAAATCTCCTCGTGATCATCAAGTTCATCCTCGGCTTTGATTCTACAAATTGCAGCTATAGATTAATGGTAAAAGACAGTAAACTGGCTTAAAACAATCCCCATTTTTACCTAGCTCTCCTCCAATCGCTTCCATCCCATTCCTCGTTCCGCTCATCCTCATTATAGTCGTGAATTCGCACTCGGCGATATGCGGAAAAGTTTTGTCGTGTCCTTTGTAAAGGGTATGAAGCCATAATAAGATTTTTTTTTGGGTGACAAGGTAAGTTCTGTCTTGTGGTTATGAGTGAATGAAGGGGTGAAGACGATTGTGAATAAACAATGAAAGAGGGGAATCATCGCCTTCATGCCCCCATTCTCTCACTCAAATCGAGAAGAACTCGTCGTCGAGTGGAGAGTGCAAACAGGGAAAAAGACAAAAAAGACAAAAAAGACATCATTACCTCGAGTACCTCAATGGAGATGCCAATAGGAATATCGGGCAAATGGAAAAGTTTATCTTTGCGTACAAGCTTAGAATAGCTTTATCGATTAGATACATATTGCTAACTGTATAAAGTAGTAAGTTAATCGATCATCCATCATGCTAACTGTATAAAGTAATAAGTTAATCGATCAGCCATCATGCTAACTGTATAAAGTAATAAGTTAATCGATCATCCAGCATTCTAACTGTATAAAGTAGTAAGTTAATCGATCAGCCATCATGCTAACTGTATAAAGTAGTAAATTAATCCATTCAACTTCATAAATCATGAAATCATGTAATCTTTAGCAATACGAATGATACGTTTAAAAAGCTTTACCAAAAACGAGTTGTAAAGACCGATTTTTAAGTCCCAGCAAAAAAAACAACAAAAGAAATTTCTTAGTAACACCCGATTGAGGCTTTTTCCTTTTCTTTTCGATATTCTGTAAGTTACTTTCACTTTTTTATAGACTGAGTTGTGGAGGGAATGGGCTCTCCTTTCTCGCGCAGTAATGCGGGGTCTTCCTTTGATGCGCTTCTCCCTTTGCACACAAATGCATTCCCCCCTTTGTGCTTTCTAAAAACCTACATTGTCTTGCGTTTTCCCAATCTAACACCTAAGGGCTAAGGAATGAGGAATTAGAGAAAATTTAAAAAAAACTCTTGAGAATTGTGGCAGAAATTTGAGAAATCAAAAATTTTGCTCTCTCAATCATCAAAACAATGAGTAAACAATTAGAAAGAAAGAAAAAACGGAAAGAAAAGGTTTAGGTATCTTAAAATAGGTTTACGTATCTTAAAATTAAAAAATTACAATATTAAAATTTGATATTTATAAAGAGAAATTCTTTGTAACTTTGAAAACAAATAAAAAATGAGTAAAAGTTTCGAACAGAGAAAGAAATAATTGAAGAAGTGATTGCTGAGAGTGGATGATGTGTATTGAGAGTGTTTCTCAGCAAGGGATCACGACCAGCTGTCACTTGTCGTCATAGCAAGGTCTCCCCCTCTTCTCCCTCATTCTCAGGGACACTAAAATTAGGTTCAGGTCAATGCTCATCTTTTCACTCATTTACCGCATTCACATATTATTCACGACTATCAAAAAGAGTATAGCGAAAATGTGTAGTTTTTTTAGAACAAGGAGTCAATGTTGGTGTAAATCAATGAAGCTAAGCTTGGTCAATTGTGAAGTGAAAACCAAGGAAAACAGTCGGTTCTGGCGGTCAGTAAAACAGTGAATAAAACAGAGGTTAAATAGTCAATGAAAGTTCAGTTTTGAGAACGTTTTGAGATTGGAGGAAAACTCGGATTTCACTTTTCCATTTCGAAACTGTTTTTAAAAAAACGAAAAAAGAAAAGTGAATGTTTCTGCGAGTGTTTTGTGAGTGTGTGGGCATGCACGAGGATGCACGGGTTACCAGTCACGTGGGGGGCGAGTGAGAGAAGCGGGTGGAGAGGGAGCACCAGTAGTGTAGGAGAGATCCGAGGAGAATTCGAGTGAAAAGAAAAATGAGTGCATGGAGCACAAACGAGCGCATCGTGAAAGGAAAGGATTCGCCGAAGAGAAACTAGTTTCTCCCTTTGCTGTTGTTGGGCCCCTTCTCGCTTTCTTTCCGAAAGAAAGCCGATCCCCTCGCCTTCTCGCCTTCATTGAGAACTCTGTCTTTTGACTTATCGAGAAATCTTTGGGCGACCAGAATCTCGACTTGTTTTAGCCGAGAACACAATTTTGAAGCGAATAGAGAAACTAAATGTGAAAGGCAAGACTGAGCTCTACACTAGTACTCTACTGAGTTACACTATTGAACTCTACACTAGAGTTTTGTCAATGATAACAGAATTGAGCTTGAACTTACCAGGGAACCTTCCCAAGTTACCCGCGAGTTACAATATGAGGTAGGTGCAAAAAGAAAGGCCTGAAAATGTACGTTTAGAAACTTTGTTACTTGGTAACTTGGGAAGGTTCCCTGGCTAGTGCGATGGCTAGCGGCTAGCGCCACACACTAAGTCTATTTCAGTCTGGGCTCAACCCCCATTTTCTGGATTTCAGCCAGTTTCCAGAATCAAAGGTTAGACTTAGACTTAGGCTTCGGTTTGATTACGGTAGAAAAGCAGTGCCTTTTAGAAAGCGCATTCTCGAAAGGAGTACAGGCAAGAATATTGTAGCTTTTAAAAGTTGATATCTTTTCAAAAGCGTAAGGAGACGATATTTTAATTTTCCAAGTATTAACATATTACAAAATAGCAATAGCACATTTGCGTGAGGAATTTAATTACAACGCATTTCATAGGGGTAGAACGTAGATGAATTGAAAGGGTCAAAGGGAAGAAAAGGAGAACAACAAAGAGAGTGGAGGCGGCTGACTCTACTGGGCATGCAAATTAGAGCCAACAACCACACAATGACATGCCCACATATACGGCCAACACTCATTTGCTCCCCATGATTATTTCCGATTTGTCTTCTTGTCTTTTATTAGCTTTCCGTTTCTGAGTGAAATCAAACCAAATCAAATTTAGAATACAACGAAATATTGAACTTTAACGAAAACTGATCAGAAATTTAAAAGCAAATGATTTACAGATACCGTATTTTCTCTAATAGTAGTGCACCGCACCGAGCCGAGTTGATGACTATTTTACGGTTTCCAAGCTTTTGCAGAAGCTCAACACTCCAATCCCCCACTAGATATCATCGTCAGCTACATTTTCCGATCCCACATAGGTTCTGATAAGCGGCCCTCGAAATCTCGAGGAATTTAGGCGACGCTCACGGTGCACGACTATTAGAGAAAATACGGTAATCAAAATGGGAAAATGAGTCATGTATTCGATTGGGTAAAATATATTTGGGTGTTTGTTGACAAATTTGTGTGGCGGCATAGTGAAAAGAGGAATAGAAAGAGTAGAATGTTAGGAGAGACAATGGGGATAGGATTTGGAGAAAGAAAAGGAGAAAGAAAAGGAGAAAGAAATGGAGAAGAGGATCGCATAAACATATCAAGTGTTGCGATCTTGACTTAGGCCTCGTCCCATTGACGGAGGCCCCCAGAGCCTTCTTTGAACCCCGCCTTTTCGCGATTCGACCACAAATCCATACACTCTTACACCATATCCATTCAACCATTGTCTTTTTGTTCAGCTTTAGTTCTTATAAGTTCGATGAATGGTATGATAATCTTAGCTAAAGCTCAAGCAATGAGATTTTAAGCTCAAGACTTTTCAAATTTAACAGATTGGACTTTTAACTGATAAATTCGATGAAAAGTAAAGGAAACTCTGGATCTGAAACTCATTTAAGTCTTATCCAACAAGACTTAGTCACAAAATATAGTTTTTCTTTGCAATAAGTATTCCAGAAAAAAAAATGGCTTCTATCAATGTACGGACTCACAGATTTGATTCATTTTTCTAAACTTAAAGAAAGAAAAAAAAGTGAGAACAAGATTTGAACTTATTGTTTCAAGTTTTCCAAATAGAAAACTTTATGACTAAATGTACATTTTCTATGATAAAGTTGTGCAATTTTCAGCAATTTGCCAAATCAATTCGTGAATCGTCGAAGATCCCCAAGAGGATAAAGATTTGTGCTATTCTTTGGAAAACTTTTTATTCTAATCGGTTAAATGTAAAATAAAAAGAGAAATCATAATTCCTAAAATAGAAAGAAAAAAGAAATAAAAAAGAAAAGAGAAAAGAGACGAAATCAAGCGCCCGTCCAAAAAATAGAATTCTCTCTCTCTTCTTTTCTCTTTCTTCTCCTTTTTCCGCTTCTCCGTCTTTTAACTCCTTTTTCCGATCCACGGAATTCCGATTTCCTTTCTCTTTATTCGGCTCTTTTTCCTCATCGGAATTCCGTGGGGCTTAACTTCTTGGTCTTTTCTCTTTTGAACAGTCTGGAGCACTTTTCTTTCTTGTCGATCCCACAACCGCCTGTCCAAAGTTGGAGTCGACTGTCGCGCCAAGTTTAGAGTTCTTTTCTTCTCGATCCCACAATTGCCTGTCCAAAGTTGGAGTCGACTGTCGTGCCAAGTTTAGAGTTCTTTTCTTCCCGAAAGTCCCTGCTTCCTTCTCGTTTTCAGATGATGAGAAAACATTGAGTAATAGAGTTTGTGAATAGAAATAACACCCAGTTACAGTTAGAGTTTAAGCTTTAAGATTCGAATAAGTTGTGCAATTTTCAGCAATTTGCCAAATCAATTCGTGAATCGTTGAAGATCCCCAAGAGGATAAAGATTTGTGCTATTCTTTGGAAAACTTTTTATTCTAATCGGTTAAATGTAAAATAAAAAGAGAAATCATAATTCCTAAAATAGAAAGAAAAAAAAGAAATAAAAAGAAAAGAGAAAAGAGACGAAATCAAGCGCCCGTCCAAAAAATAGAATTTTCCAAGAAACATTCGATTTTGTAAAGTATTTTTTGAAAAAGTTTTTGAGTAACGACTATTGGAGTACTGCAATGTTATGGTGAAGCTATATAATTTCTTTTTAATACTTTATTGATCTATTTTCTTAACTTACAAATACTTTAATCTAACTAAAGTGTTTTTTTTTAGAGAAAAGCTAAAGGGAAATTTTGAAGTAAACAAAAAAAAAATATAAATAAATAAATGCTAACAACGATTTATATATAATACAAAAACTAATAAATGACGATTTTTTGAAAAAAACTAAACAAAGTTCAAGAAAACAAGATTCAAAGTTTAAAGTGACAATGAGAAGCTCAAGTGGATTTTTTTTGCATTCTAAATGTTCTTATTAAAGCTTCACCTTTATAGAAAAGATCAAAAACGACTAAAAGATTTATAATTGTAGATTAAAAAAGAAAAAAAGAAAAAAAGATTAGAGCATGACATCATTTTGGCTAGCGACTCGGCCAATCGGAGTGTATTCAGTCTGAGTTGGACGCTTGCGGAATGGACGAAACACGTACGAACATTTCTAAAGAGTAAATCTTATTTTCTTTAATAGTTTCAAAGAAAATTTGATTTTCTTACTATTGTTAGTGCGGATCAGAAGTCTATGAAAGTAAAAATAGCTTATCTAAACGCTTAACGACTATTGAAGTACTGCAATGTTATGGTGAGGCTGTTTATAATTTCTTTTTAATACTTTATTGATCTATTTTCTTAACTTACAAATACTTTAATCTAACTCTATTGATTTAAAAAAAAAAGATTTGAATGAAATTTTTTATTTACAGATTTAAATCTGTAAACCAAAATCGTTCCAAAATCGAGTTTAAAATCAATCCTTTAGATCCAATCAATCTTTTAGCTCCAATCAATCCAATCACAGTACCGTATTTTCTCTAATACTAGTACACCCTGAGCGTCGTCTAAATTCCTCGAAATCTCGAGAACTGCTTATCAGAACCTATCGATGTGGATTCGGAAAATGTAGCTGACGATGAGATCTTGCGGGGGATTTGAGTGTTGAGCTTCTGCAAAAGCTTGGAAACCGTAAAATAGTCACTGGGCCGCCGGGGTGCACTACTATCAGAGGAATATGGTATTTTCTAAATCTTTTTGAGTTTTTAGCTAAACTATTAAGCTAAAATGTGTGAGACCACGACCAGTTATTCCAGAGACTGACATTTATCCCTTACACTGATTACTTGTTGCAAGAACGTTGATAAGTAGGATTTTTGCAAAGCCAGCCAGATGTTTACCGTATTTTCTCTAATACTAGTACACCCTGAGCGTCGCCTAAATTCCTCGAAATCTCGAAAAGCGCTTATCAGAACCTATCGATGTGGGGTCGGAAAATGTAGCTGACGATGAGATCTAGTGAGGGATTTGAGTGTTGAGCTTCTGCAAAAGCTTGGAAGCCGTAAAATAGTCGTCAACTAGGCTCGCCGGGCTGCACTACTATTAGAAAAAATACAGTAATTTAAACGAGCAAAACTTTAGATAGGTTTTAAAATTTAAATTATCAAGTGAAAATGTTGATATAAAAATGACAAATAGATGATGATAGATGATAGATGACTATATATGATAAACTTGTTGAAATATAGCTCACCTCTCCAAGCGTGCGCCCTTTAGCTGTGCAACACTTAAAGATCGCCACAATTGGGATAGCAGCAGCTAAAAATAAGATAGAATTTGGAGATTTGTATTAGCCAAAATCTTCTTTGACTACCTGCTGAAAGACCAAAAAAGATTCCGAGCACGTTGGCCGTGGTTGAGAATTGGTAGTCTTGATAGACGAGCGGCATATAGTTCCAGAATGAAGAGAAGATCATCAACTGAATCATTTTTCTTTCAATTCTCGAGGTCCAACCCATTCAAAAGACGATTAGAGAAAGTGTTCAAAGAGAAAAGACTTTTCTTTTCCTTCATCCCCTTTTTCGCGATAACAAATCCTTTACATCTTTGCCATTTCACAAATCCCATGATGATCCTCTTATCTTCGAACAATTTTCCCTATCCAAATATCGGATGAAATGGGGGGTTGAACTGGAGAGAATTGGGGAGAAAAAGCTTGAACGCATTTGAGAACACCCGAACTCTGGATTAGTCACATGTGTATCGATTGAGGAAAATTTTTGAAGCGATTTGAACTTACAAATAAAAACAGTGGAGCTCCAAATGCCCAGCAAATCTTCCAGTAGAGGCCAGGAGGGAAGCCGAGCATCTCCTAGAATTATTCAGATTTAATCCTCTGCAATACTTGTATATAAATACATAAATATAAAGATATGTCTATAAATATAAGCACTGTGTCTGTTTCTCTGCCGGTGCGTGCTAATCCTCCGCGCCCAGTGAGCCGTTTCAAATGACTTATAGTTAGTTTGGCTTAGAATTTCATGTATTTGTGCAACGTGTTTTTAAATTTTTTAAAAACCAAAACTGCCGACGCGGACGGGAGTCGAACCCGGATCGTCTGCGCTAGAGACAAGTGCGCTCGCACTGCGCCATCTACGGAGCCCATCTACATCGCGGGCCGTGTGGGCTAGAGACAAATGAACCTAGAGGCTAGAGGCACACTCCGTCATCTACTAGAGCATGGCCAAGTGGTTAACACGCGCGTCTCTCAAGACCGAGTGGTTAACACGAAAGAGGAACGTCGCGGGTTCGACTCCTCTCGCCGCCGATTCTTTTGCTTTTTGCTGCTAGTAAATATAAATATAACTTTAGTGTTTATAAAATACTTAGAATTAAAGCTTGAAGTAAAGAAGGTAGATGTATAGCTTAAAACCGTGAAAAACTGTTAAATTCTTTAAAATACGATAAAAGCATTCAGTTTTCCACCGTACCCCTTTTCACTGAATTTATTAGTAACCATGACTACTGGTAAAAGCTTTAACAGTCAACCTTGAGATCCATAACAAATTGATTGATCCCGTAGAAGTATGAGACAACGACCGCCTCGCAAAAGACGGCAATGAGAAGACCCCATGTTGTCCCATAAACGATCAACCATTCCATGATCAAGATTCCACCCTGAATTATTTTTCCTGGTTATTTTTTCCCCAAAAGCTATTTTCAAATAATTTCTTACCTGAGTACAGATGAAATATCCGATTAGCATGTAGAAACCGAAAAGTAAAACAATGAAAATCTCGCGATGTCTTTTAATCCACAAAAACTCGTCGCTCAACGCCGTAATGATAGCCTCTGTGCCGCCAAACTGAAAGAATATCAAGCTTTTTCTAGAATTTCTAGAATTTCTACAATTTCTATGCTAGAAATTCTAGATCAAGCTTATAATAAGAGTCTGATTCAGTTTAGAACTGGCAATCATAGTTTTGAGCTTAGCCTGAGTCTAAGCTAGAAACTATGATTGCTATGGAACAGAGCTTCTCTCCCCCTTTGTATTTCCTCTTTCTTCTCTTCCAACAAGATATCCCATAGCTCAATTGTTAGAGCATCTGCCTGGAAAACAAAAAGAGCGATCTCTGGAGAGATTCAATCCCTTCTCCGGAAATCTTTCTTTGTCATGCCTTACTTTACTTTATTACTGTAGCCTTTCTATATCTGTTAAAGCTTTTTAAGATCAACTTACTGAACTATCCAATCCCAAAGTGATCAACATGAGGAAAAAGAGTACCGACCAACCGGGCGCCCATGGCATTGTGGCCAACGCTTCAGGATAAACGACAAACACCAAGCCTGGTCCTGGAACAGTTTTTTTTACTTTCATTTTACTCTGAGACTTGGCTGAGATGTGTTCGTTTGGCTAAAACCAGACTCTAAATTGTCAAATATAATAATCAGAATCAAAAAAAGACATTCGACATTCAATAAACCCTTATCTTTCATCTTTCAAAGTCAGCTTTGATCAGATTCTTCAAACCTCAAAGTTGAGATTATTTTCAAAGAAAAGCTGCAAAGAGGAAATAATTCAATGATATTATTATTGTATCACTAAGTAGCTCACCTTCTTGTGCTACTTTATCAATTGATTTGCCCGATGTGCAGGACATATAGCCAAGAACCTAGAGCTCCATTTTTAACAAGTAACTTCTTTTCAAAATACCGAGAAAATCACGAAACCAGAAAGGAAACTTGTGCAACAATTGATCGCACTTGTCACGAGAGCATCGCTAAATATATTTCAATATGATTTCGTTTCTGATTAAGCATACAAATAGACATTGTTGTTGAATTTATTGTACGAAGAATAGGCCATTAACACTCCAAAGCCAGGACCCAGTGAGAAAAAGACTTGTGTCGCCGCGTCTTGCCATACATTTGGATCCTGAATAATTTGTTTTAAAATTAAGATTTCTATAAATTTTGTTCTAATTTTATATTAGTAACCCCAGAATTAGCTTAACTAAATACTGTAATAGGACCCCACTCCCATAATGACGAGTCGGTTGCGTTTTTCCGTTTAGTAAGCTGGAAAAAGAATTCAGGGCATTTTTTGATAAAAGATTTTAAGAGGGTTGAAAAAGTTTGGATAGTGTAGGGGGGGGGTCATACAGTATTTACGGTAACTAAATACTTTTGACTATGTGACTTCAAGCTTGAGCCTTCTAAATCTTCGGATGTCTCAAAAAAAAACTTTTAAACACTGCAGGTGTAAAATCTTGAAAGTTTAAGATTTAAGATTAGTATTTAGTTCATAAAAAACTAACATTCTACAGTTGATTGTTGTTTTTTTTCAACTGTTGCACTCTTTTGTTGGGAGAAGTTGATTGTACACCCATCACGTTTCCCCCCTGACCACCCACAAAGTCACCGCCCATTTCCCAACAAATTTCATCATTTTTCTCCCAACAAAAGAGTGCAACAGTTGAAAAAAAACCAACAATCAACTGTAGAATGTTAGTTTTTATGAACTAAATACTAATCTTAAATCTTAAACTTTCAAGATTTTACTTCTGCAGTCATTAAAAGTTTTCTTTTGAGACATCCGAACATTTAGAAAGCTCAAGCTTGAAGTCAAAACTGCTTAAAGATTTCTATACATTGTGTTCTAATTTTATATTAGTAAGCCCAGAATTCGCTTAACTAAATACTTTTGACTCTGTGACTTCAAGCTTGAGCTTTCTAAATCTTCGGATATCTCAAAAAAAAACTTTTAAACACTGCAGGCGTAAAATCTTGAAAGTTTAAGATTTAAGATTAGTATTTAGTTCAGTTAGTTAAACTAACATTCTACAGTTGATTGTTGTTTTTTTTCAACTCTTGCACTCTTTTGTTGGGAGAAAAATGAAATTTGTTGGGAAATGGGCGGTGACTTTGTGGGTGGTCAGGGGGAAAGTGATGGGTGGTCCTGGGAGGAGAAAACGTTTCCCCACCTTTCGCCTCCCCTTCACCCCCCATTTTCCCCTTTTTTCCTTCCACAAGACCTCCTTGTAACCCCCGAAATTCGTTCTTAGTTTTTTCTTACTGATAATGGGTGCTTGTAAATGAGCAGATTTATTTATTAGTAACAAGTTGGCTTAACAAGTTTGCTTAAGGTTTGCTTAACAGGCTTGCTTAACAGGTTTGCTTAACAAGTTTGCTTAACAAGTTGGCTTAACAGGTTTGCTTAACAAGTTTGCTTAACAGGTTTGCTTAACAAGTTGTCTCTCTTCATATTAGTACATTAATTAAAGACTCTGGTTTTAAGTAGTTTTTTTTAATCTTTAAAACCTCTAAATTTGGAATAAGTTTGTTTAAGTCGTTTCTAAAATGCAAAAAGATATCTATGCAGTTTTGGTACTTGTCGGCTATACATACACAAAGACTCATCTCGATTAAGCATCCCCATGCGAGTCCCCTCGGTTATCGATTTTCGTTCGACTGATCGACTGATATCACTTCACTGAACATAATCACCCGTCACAAGTTGTCACCTCCTTGCTTAACCCGAGTTGAGTCTGTGGATTCTCTGTGGATGTATCACCGACAAGTACCGCAGTTTTTGTAAACGATTTTAAGCAAAATACCCGTGTGCCTATGCACCTGAGCTCAATCGAAGCAATGTGGGTCATTTGGTGCAACTTTTAGCGCTTAAAGTTACTGCGCAAAAGATGTTTTTCCACGAGTGGTGCGCAAATGGGATCAAATTCGAAATTTTAAAGTAATTTGAAAGCAGATTGTCTCAAAGGTAAGACCAGGATCTAAAGCAATGGCTTTAGATCCTGGGCCTATCCACTAGACCACTAGATCGTTTGGCTTGACCAAGCCTATGCACTTTAAAGCTGAATTGTTGAATCTAAAATTCTAAGAGCATTTTTGATTCAACTACTTTCAGTTTTTCGATATTCGGCTTCAAATAGAACTCGATTCCTTTGCGAGCGCCGGGAAGCGTGATCCCTCTCACGAAAAGCACACCCAACACCACATATGGGAACAAAGCCGTGAACCAGACAACCTAAATCGTTTTTTGTTTATCCTTTAAATTAAAATTATTCGTAAAACATAAAAGATTGCAGAAAAAAAGGAAATCGACTTCAGTGAGAACTCACTTTTCCACTCATTCCAATCCCTTTCCATAGCGAAAAATAGCAAATGATGTAAACAACGAAAAGCGAGACGAAAATGTGCCTAAAGATTTAAAGATAATTGTAATTTGGCATGTTTAAAAGTTCAAAAGATCAAAAGATCAAAGATCAAAAGTTCCAACCAATTAAGATCTCCATATTCGGATGGTGATCGAATCACGTGCGAATTGGCGGCACCGCTTTGATGAAGTCCCAGAAAACCCTTGCTAAGTTTTCACATAGAAAGTGTAAAGATTTGAAGTTGAAAAGTTTGTTTAAAGTTTGAAATGTAAAAGTTTTCCTTACTAAAAGTATTCCTCAGCTGCTGAGATTTTCGTCGTTGTGCCTTGATCTTCTGGAAGGCAACTGTCCGAACTCGAGTAAAGCGCGCCATAGCTAGAATGTATTGTACAGATCGATAAATCACCTATAGAGTTATAGAATTCATGAATATCTTTAGCTAAAGTTATTGGGTAAGTCTTATCTGAATAGATTTTTGCCTTAATTAAAGCCTTACTGTGGCTCATAGCAGGCTTTACTGTTGTACGAATTGTTGCAGCTTGCCCAAGGCAGATTCGTTTGAAACGAGGTGTACAAGTAATGAAAACCCCAGGCGATAACCTAAAAAAAGACGAAAATTGTCGTAAATCCTTTAAATGTTTTAATGTTTAAATGTTTAAATGTTAAATCATTTAACATCCATCATTTAACATCCTTTACAAGCTCTTACCACATTATAGAAGAAATCTGTATAGAAAGCGATCATGATCACACAGTACCCGATGCCTAAATAAATAATTATGTTTAGAATTATCTTGAAAACCTTTGAATAGTGGACAAATTCGTCCCCAAGTGGTAATGGCGCCTTTTCGATAATACTGTCCGAGCGCCAACTCCATATAGAATAACGGGACACCGGTGACGAGCACAATGATCGTGTAAGGGATCAGGAAAACTCCTAGAAGACTTGTAAATGAGACAAGAAATGTTTGAGGTATGTTTAGAAGAAGCTTTGAACATTTTTTTAGATTCTAGAATCATTCTAGAGTCATTCTAGAGTCCGACTGACAAAACAAGCTAAAGATTGTTCATTGCAAACATTTCCTGATCCATCAGGTTACAAACTTATGCCAATCGGTCATTGACTTATTATTTGACTCTTTTAAAATATATTTTCTTACACAAATAATCGCGTACAAACAAGCACACCCTTAAACCTTAAATAGAGGTAAGGGACCAATGAGAAGAAAAAAAATTAGCCGACGGGATTGAACTCTCGACCGATTGGCTAAGAGCTTTATCTCTGAGTCTATAGGTCGACTCAGACTCAGACCTATAGACTCAGAGATAAGGCTCTTAGCCAATCGGCCATGACAAACCAAAACGCCTCTTGACAAAAGCTCTTGACATCTGTGCAGTTTTATACAACCCACCTCCGCCATTTTTGAAGCAAAGGTACGGAAAACGCCAGATATTGCCCAAATCGACCGCAAATCCCACCACAGACATCAAAAAGTCGAGCTAAGAGGATAAATAGTTCTTTGGTATGGATAAGCAGCTCCTACTAGTGCAAAACACTGTTAACATTTTAGACCTTGCTCGTCCATTGCTCTCGAGGCTCTCCCTTGACGAGCCGGGTTCGCTCATCAGTGGCCGCTGAAGCTGACGAGAATGTGGTCATTGTCACCGCCGACGATTGATGGTTCCCATTGCGCATACAGCTGCCGCTCACGCGCAACTCGCATTCTTCTCCTATTCCATCTGAAAGCCAAATTTCACTAGATATTCATTGGATCTACCTGATGTTTCATTCCGGGGCATGTGCGCCACGTGATGTAAATCGGCCGGATCCACCGAGAAACTGTAATCATTCAAAAGAGATCATTCAAAAGATTTAATTTCAGAAAAAAGCTATAGAAATTGGATATATCTACGGCATTTTCTCAAAAGCAATGGCTTGTTGAATCACTTTTAAAACTGATCTTGATATTGGTGAAGTTTTGTTTTTGTTAACAAGTTTATAAACTTGACATGGTAGACAAGGAAGACAAGGGACAAGGACAAGGACAATGTAGACATATCTATGAGAAACCTTCCTTAAAACTTCTTCAGTTCCTTTTCTCAAATAGAGTTTATTCTCAAAATTTCAAAACGAGGACAAACCTGTGTCGGGCATGCGCAGTGGGCCGCTTCAGTTTGGCAGAAATTCGAGGATTTCAGAGAAATCGGGTAGATTAAAGCCACAAAAATACTGAGCCAGGCCCAGCAAAGGTGAGGTGAGCTTGAAAAGAGTATGAGGAGTGGAAGGAGTGAGCTGCTGCTGCTGCTGTGTGTGTGTGTGTGAAGGAATCTCCTCGAGCTCCTCATTCCCCTTGAAGAGCCTCATAGGTTTTGTGTGCCCTAAACGCCGGAAGACGATTAGAGGAAACGATATGTCGCTACTCGGCTGGTTGGTTCTTTTCTTTACTCTGGATTATTTGGAAGATAGGGAAAGATCGGGGGGAACTTTTTCCCTCCAATCATCTACCACAGAAAAAAAAAGAATACACTCACCGAACACTCTTCACCATACCATCGTCATGGAAAAGGTCTATCAGAGATGAACTTTTTCCAGAGAATAGAAAAATATGTGTGCTACCGTTTAGAAATAAATCTGATACTTGTTTTTATTTGTTTCTAAATCTCTTTTATAGGCTTTAAAGTGTCTCTGTTTTTTTTAAAATGACTTTAAAATGGGTTTAAAATGTTTCAAAATTAGTTTAAAATGTCTATGTTTCTTTAAAATTGGTTTAAAATGGCTTTCAAATGTTTTCAAATGGGTTTAAAATGTTTCAAAATGAGTTTTAAATGTTTCAAAGATGTTTAAAATGAGTTTAAAAATTTCTCTGTTTCTTTAAAATGTCTCAAAATGTTTAAAATGACTTTAAAATGTCTCAAAATGTTTAAAATGACTTAAAACTTTTCTTGCATATGTAGTTTGTGTAAAAGTTCATTCAATTTTCTGGGAGAAACGAAGGAAAACTAGACAAAACAGCTGATAAAACTCTTGATTCAATGAAAAGTGCGAAAAGTGCGAAAAGAAAAGAAAAAGGAACATAAATTGACAACACTTTCAAAAGAAAAGAAAACAAATAATGACTAGAATGATCGATAAAAGTTCAAGAAAGGAAATTTCAATTGAGACCAGGAAAGAGGTGAAGTGAAGGGACACCGCCAGTGCCAGTTAGTGGACCAACGAGAGCTCCAAGTCCAGTTCGAAATCTTAATTGTTCAGAAGTTTTTGAAGCTTTCACTCTCATTCGTCGGAGAATTGATTCCGGGCAATGAAAGGCATATTGTGACAGATCGCCTCTAAAAATTTCAAACTGTTTTCAACACTTTTACTCAGATTTTGTCGATCTTTAAGATCTTGAATCTTTTAGCGATATCTTTATCTCAAGTTTTGGGTCCTGGTTGGGCACAAAATGTAGAAAAAGAATCGGTTTTGAGATAATAGAGGCTTTTTGAGAAAGAGCTAGGTCGATCAAAAAGGAAAGGCGCTCCACTGACGAGGATAATGATTTCCTGTCAAGACTCAGTAGAACCAACCGAAAAAGACTCACAATGTACTCTTTGAAAAATGAGCTCAACATTTAGGATTTCTTCTGGGAACTTTATTTTTTTGCGAAAACTAACATTGAGCCTTGAATCTCGACAGCATCCTCCATTAGGACGAGTACCACTTTACCAGCGAGTTTACTCAAAAGACGCTCCTCAAACAGATGCGTTTTGTCCTCATCATCACAAACGTACTAAAAATGATTTAGTTAAAAAGATATTTGAAATAAATGAATGTTGACTTTTGCTGACTAACAATCCTGAAGAATCAATGCTGATTTAAGGTTTAGAAAAGAACACATTGACATTTCTGGTTATTCGGTCTGAAAGCGTACATCTAGAAGCATTCATTTGAATGTTGACTTTTGCTGATTGTTAATCCTGAAGAATCAATGCTGATTTAAGGTTTGGAAAAGAACACTGACATCTTTTTTGTCTGGTTATTCGATCTGAAAGCGTACATCTAGTTTTAAACTTACTCGAAACATCTTTGGAAATCGATTGAACAGTATTGCGACGGGTATATTGAGATTAGCAGCAAGTTTTGCCGCGTAAATGAATCGTTGCTGTGATGAAAGGCGTTCGGGGTTCCATTTGTGCAAGTCAGAAGGTGTTACCGGTTGAGCATCCGAGAAAAGCAGCTCGTCCTCCTGAAATGATTAAGTTTATTTAAAAAAAGGAGAAACAGGTGAACAGTAAAACAGTAGAACAGTAAAACAGTAAATCAGTAAAACAGTAAATCAGTAAAACAGTTTGTTTTCTATTTTCATTAAATCATTCTTGTTCAAACCTTTCTTGGCCTGCCTCGACGGCGCTTATGCTCACGCGATCCGTGCGACACCGCCGAGATGTCCGAGTCATCGGATTCATATCCAGGGAATCGCGGCTGAAACACTCATCAAAGATAAAAGCTTTATTGATAAAACTTATTGATAAAGCTTATCGATAAAGCTTATCGATAAAGCTTTTATATTGTATAATGTCTAATATCTAATTCAAATTTGCCTCATTGATGTTATGTGGAATGGCTTGATGATGAATTGGAGTGAAAGATTCTTTGGCCGCCTCAAGCATTCCCCTTGCCAACTCATTCAAATCCTCTTCAGCTACCGCCTAGAAAATATTTGAGCCTAATATTACAGTAAATTAAATTTCAAATCTTCTTTTAGTTTTTATCAAAAAGATACATGTCCATTTCGTCGTAAATTCTCGATTGCTGGACTGAAAGTGGTTCGCAAATGACGATCAATCACTTGTCGAAATTCGTCGTTGATTTGCGGTTGAAAGATCTAAAAAAGAAGCTCTTGACTAGTAGTAGTAGATTTATTCGACACGAATAATGAATTACAACACAACGGAGGAAATTTTTTTAGCCCCTACCCCTATTACCCAAATGTCGTTAAGAAAAAACCCATAATGATGGGAAAAAGAACCAATTTTTCTGGCCACCGGGATCGAACCTTTGACCTGCCGACTAGGAGACAAGATTCCTATCCGGTTCCTATCCTATCGGCTACGACGACTGAATATTTAAAATCTTGAATTTCAAAATGATAGTTCTTAGGTTTTTTATTGAGCTTACCCTTCGCATTAAGTCAAGCGATCGAGACGCATCTTCCGCCATGTCAGCTTTATTTCGTCGAATCACTTGCCGTAAGCAGTTTGCCTATAAATTTCAACGATTACCATTATATGTTGAAAAGCTAGTAATCATTGATTGCATATTTTAAAATTTAATTTAACCCCATAAACCTTAGCTGTCGTCCCATCACCGGCAATCGAGCTCAAAAGTCCCTCCAAATTCTGTATCCGCACATTCATTTTGTTGCCATTTCCGTTTCCAGTCGATTGATTTTCTTCGAATACCATTTCTAGAAAGCTGAATAAGATTGAAATTAAATTTACATTTTATAAAAAGTAAAAAGCTAAGCAAAAAAAAGGCAATTGATAAAATTGATAAAAGAATAGCAATGAAAGATGTTGTTGACTAAAGTTAATCTCAAATCTATAACGCTTGTTTACAGAAGTGTCTAGAAACAAAAAAAATGGTTCAAGGCAAAAGAAAAGAGAGAGAGAGAAAAGGGAGTTGAAAGAGAGGCCGACTGTCAGGCGGTCATGTAGAAAAGGACGCGACGCGACCGCTTTCCGTTCCCATTTCTCTTCATTTCCCTCAATATTTCCCTACTTTCATCCATATTTTCAATGTGCTCTTGGAAGTTGAAACTTGAAAATCGAAAATTATACAAAAGAACCAGCTGTTTTTTGAGTTATTCCAGTCAAATGACTGAAAATCGAAAATCATAATATAGAAGCAGTTGTTTTTTGAAATTAAATTATCATCACAGTCAAATGGTCAAATGAAAAACATGCTAAATATTGTAATAATTGTAAAATCCTTGAATAAAGTCTAAGATTTCTGAATTTTGACTGAAATATCTTTATTTTGATTTATTGACTGGAGAGATGAATGGATTGTTGAATTGTTGTGATTTGAGGAGGAGGAGAGAGCTCTCTCCGGAAAGGACACAGGGCTATGGACTGAATTATTTTCTTTTTTTTTGCTACACACATATTATATATTCAATTTTCGTTATTGAATCTATTCTATAAGTGAATCTATCTAATAATCTATGACTTTTCAATTTCTACTCATAATTTGTGTTCTAGCTAACTTGAATGGATTGTTGTGATTTGAGGAGGAGGAGAGAAGTTTGAATAAACGAACAGTTGCCATATTTCTCTTTGTAAACAAAATTCCCAAACAACATTCTCACCGGAAAGGGCACAGGACTATGGACTGAATTTTTCATCTAGCTAACTTCCGCTTTCCGCGTTTCTAATTGGATTTTTCTTTCTTTACCTTTTGTGATCCAAGACAAGGAAATAAAGAGAACTACAAACAATTCTGTACATAAATTTTTTTACTGAATTACAGTATTTTCAAATTACGAAATTGGCTTACTAAAGATTTGCAGAAGTTTTATTTTTCAAAACTTTATTCAACGTTATAACTGAGTTTGATCAGTTGCCAGAGTTGCCAGAGATCGAGCCTCATCACCAGTCAGCTGCATTTTCAGCTCTTCGACGACACGACGCAAACGGAGAACTTCCTGAAAAGGAAAGTTGTCAATTGGAGGCTTTAGAGAAGTCAATTGAGGCTTTGGAGTCAATTGGAGGCTTTAGAGAAGTCAATTGAGGCTTTGGAGTCAATTCGAGGCTTTAGAGTCAATTGGAGACTTTGTCTTTGAGTATCTTTGAGTTTTTCTCCAAAAGATCACCTTATTAGTGGAATATTTTTATCGGTATACTAACCTCAAAAAGAATGCCTCTCTCATCTGACGAGGCATTCAAGAATGTCTCACTCTCGCTCGCATCCGAATCAAATGATGTATCCGCTAAAAATTTAAGCTTTAACTTAAATCAAACTTAGAACTAAAAATTTAAACTTAAAAAATTGATCAAAGACCAAACCAGATTCCACATTTTCGTTTGAATTTTCGAAAAAGGAATCTTCACGCAAAGGGATCAATCTTCCATAAGTGGTGGAGCCTAAAAGGAATTGAATTCAATGATTTCAAAGCTGGTTTTGCATAAAAAGAGAAATTCGATTGCCTAAGCCAGCGAGTAACGATTACTAAATGCCGTTCAAATATCGTTCAACATCTTTCTAATGTATCGATCTTTTAGCAAACACGCTACTCGCTGGCTTAGGCAAGTATTTCTGATAAAGAAATCGGACTTCTACCCACCATTTTTCAAAAAACATTCCGCTTCCGACTCGCATTCGGCTGGATTCATCTTTTGGAATGCTCTTTTGTTCATAAACCAATTCTGCACTTGCTCAAATGAGAGTTTCAAATCGATTCCGAGTGAGCGAATTTCACAAATTTTCGGTCGACTCGTAACCAAATGGAAATATTCAAGAAGAAGATTTGAAGTTTCCGAATGTAACATTTTAACAAATGTGACTAGCCGAATTGGTTGGGAGGAAATGATGGAGATTCTCCATTCCCTTTCAGGAGATTCTCCATTCCCTTTCACTCCAAATCCCTTAGGCTAAGATCGACAGCTTGTAAAACGAAATTGTTCCCAGACGATGCGATTGGCAAGTGTCCTTGTGACTAGTTCCCAGACGATGCGATTGGCATCCGAATCATGAAAACTTTTTGTTTTACTGATATGCTTTTATTGATCACAATTTATCATTTCGACTTATGTACACGCAAAAAAAAGGAAAAAAGGAAATAATTCGATCGTTTAAAAATCTCTTTTTCATTTCAGCACAAGTGAAATTGTTTTTGAGCAGTCAAAAAAAAAATATTAATAAGAAAAAAAAAATGATTGGAATGCTTTGTTAAAAACAGAAAAATGATAGAAAATTTGAAAGAATACTCGTATTTAAATTCGGAAATTGAATGGTAGAACAAGAAAAAAGACATTGAAATGACCGTGTTGGGTCCAAAAAATCTTGAGTACCCTGTTGAAAAACTTAGAAATTTCGAATGGATAGGAGAATGCGAGGAAATATTCGATGTAAAGTACTGTAGAAGAAAAGGTTTGACTGAAATTTGGCTCTTCTAAAATGACAATGAGTCATTTACTGTAGAGTAAAAAAAAATTATGAATTTCTAAAGCTTAGAATACTTCAAAATAGACATCGACGCTACAAACTATTGGATTGGTGAATTGAAAACTGCCGGCTATTATCATATGTGACAGTTTGAGTACTTTCTTCAAAAGAAGCCCATTTTGGTGTCAATGGAAAAGTTGTAGAGAATCAAAAATTAAGTTTATATTCAAATTTTCAGAACGATTCAAAAACTGGTTTTCAAGAAATGCGAAATTTACGAATTTTCACAAAACCTGCATTTTAAGCGAAACTACTAAGTGTATCTTTTTGGAAATTTGGCTATAAGCCTAATTTTTGATTCTCTACAACTTTTCTATTGAGACCAAAGTGGGTTTCTTTTGAAGAAAGGCTCAAACTGGGACATCTCCAGTCCTCCATTTTTGAGTCTCACACTTGTCTCACACACAAACCAAAATCAAACCAAACTCCTACTACGAAAGAGGAATTCGCAAATTGCCTGTAAAATGGGCAGAAGTCGTCAATAATAATGGAAATTATTTGGAATGAATTCATGGTTTTATGTTAAATAAATTTTAGTTCAAAGTCCGGCAGCTTTCAATTCACCAACCCAATACAAAGTCAGACTATAAACCCTTGTAGAAACGCGAAGAATAGATATTTTTGGAAACTTTTTTTATCATAAAAATTGGCTCACATTTAGGCTTTTGAATGACACCAAAATCAGGGCAAATCAGGTTCTCGACTTTGAAATATAACGTTTTTTCGAGGTTTGTAGTTCTGTCCAATTGGCTAAATCTAGAAATGGCTGATTCTCGGAGTAAAAATAATGGATTAACTTGATTTTTGTTTCATTTAAAAGCCTAAATTTGGTTTAATTTTTTGGTAAAAGAAAGTTATAAAAAATCTCTATTCTACGCGTTTCTAGAAGAGTTTATAATGATGTTTATTTCAAGATGCTTTCATTCTTCCCTAGACATAGCTCATTGAATCATACGTTGAAAAAGAAAAGAGAAGAAAAGAAAAAAACGAATTTAAGAAATGATCGTGCACAGTTTGGTCACTTTAGTAAAGCACAAAGGGTATTTTCTGAAGAAAAATTGTCAAACTCTTTGTAATTATAGTAATTGAAGTATAGTAAGTACGGGAACTTTTGGCGCACGCTACAAACTACAAAGTATCAAAAAGAAAACGTTTGTTAATGTTAAACCCGTATACAAAGAGCCGATCGTTTTTGTACTAAAAAATTACTCAACTATAGTAATCAAATTCTTAAATTCTACATGAAAAATACCTTTTTTTTTTAGCTCTATTTAGGGCTAAACTATCGTTGTATCAGCGAAAAAGCGATTAGGCGCGTTTCTCGTGAGTGGAAATTTAGGACTTTTCGAGAAAGATCGCCTCAATTGAGATCCCCGTCGCATCACGAGTGCTCGGACACTGTCCACCTGAAAATTTTCTATTAGCTTTCCAAATCGTATCTAGTTTTCCCAATGGTTAGCTCAAAGAATTGAACGGGATGATTAGTTCATGAAGCTTTGTGGAAATTTCTGGCATGCCGTAAAGGTATCCCTTTCAAACAATGAGCTTTCTAAATTGTGTCTGTTTTTGAAAAACCGTAACCAGGTTACGATTATATTAAAGACAAGATTACAATGGCTTTCAAAAGTGGTTTTACTAGGTTATTAGAATTACTAGGTTCAGTTTGCGATCACTTGCAGAAAAATTCTAATTATTTAATTATTTTCACAATAAAAACAGAGAAAACAGGCTTTCAAATTAGCCAAAAACCATAAGATAACAATCTTATGGTTTTTGGCTCATTTGTAAGCCTGTTTTCTTGCGAGCATTTTCTTATATAACTTATTTTACATATTTCACATTAGATGGATAAGACGAACTTCGTGTTTAGCTCCGTCACTATTGGAAGGTCTGTCTGCTAGATGAAATGATTGAAATCTGTTGAAATGATTTGTGTGGTGGAAGGAGAAGGAACTGTTGGCAAAACTGCTGCAATCAAGTGCTTCAAACGCTTCAATGACGGTGATTTTAATCTAGAAAAGAAGAAGTTCAAGAGTTCCAGAGTTCTTTGATTCAAAGGAGTCGGCTTGGTACTTCCAGCAGCTCCGAAAACTTGCTGATCGATGGCAGAAGGTCATAGAGAATATAATCAGACCTTTTTATAATCAGGCATAATAACGCATAAGACCTCCCCTCAAGATGACAACGATTTTTGCATTCTTCGGAGATCACCTTTCGGGTCCTCCCTCCAAGGTTGTGAGGTCCGTTGTAGAGAACGACGTCCGCCATCCATCGTAGAGAATGACGTCCGCCATCCGTCGTAGAGAACGACGTCCGCCATCCGTCGTAGAGAACGACGTCCGCCATCCGTCGTAGAGAACGACGTCCGCTATCCGCCGTAGAGAACGACGGGCTATACTTCGTTGAATAGTTCTTGTTTTTGTTGATTATTTGCGAATAAAAGTTGAATTTTTCTGCAAGTAACCGCGAACCTAATAGAAATGTTTTTTTTAACAACCTAATAGAAAACACATTTGTTTGAAAGGAAACACTCAAGCCTGAAGAAGGAATGTTCCAAGTTCAAAATTTACCAGCAGAGCTAAACGATTTCGATAATGTGCAATCATTTACTGTTTGAAACATTCCTAGTCTCAACATGCGTTTTCAAAATTTTCAATCTAATTTCTAACTTTTTACAATCATTAAAAAAGAGGGGGGAAAGAGGTTTTCTCAAGGGTATCGCGTGCATAGCAAAATTTCATTTTTACTTTTTTTCATTCGACGACGATGACATCAAGATCTAACACTTGAATTCTAAGGGGTTAACGGTTTTTTTGAAAAGAAAATCTCTACGAAAAGATGAGACTAAAAAAAAATACTGGTTGTTTACCCAAAAAAATCGGAGTTACACAACTCTGGCAACTGAGCCGTTTTGACGGGTTTCTGAAGTAAAAATTTAGAAGTGAATTTTCAAAAACAACTTAAGCCTGATGTTTTTCAAATTCTTAAAGATGTTGAAACACGATTTTTCTCGAAAAAAACAACTATTGAGAAGGTAGAGAACTATTGGGTTGTCCAGTTATGAATGCGCGTTTTTTAATTTTTTTCTAAATTTCTCAAGATACCGAAATCAAGAAAAAGATTTATATGAGTATTATTCGAAAGCTGAAGATCTCCTCTACATTTTGATATACCGTATTCTCTCTAAGAGAGGTGCACTCTTTAATAGTAGTGCACTCTCTAATAGTATTGCGGTCCAGGAGGGGGTTCAAAAAATAGTAGTGCACCCCCGAAAATTTGAATTTCTGTTTGCTTCTTTTTCATCTAAACCTTTTTGACTTTATGTTTATGTGACATTCTAAAGCTATTCAAGCAAGCAAAAGTGAGGCTTTTTTTATTCATTTATTAACTATTCTTCACATGAAAAGGTTAGCAAAAAATCTAAAATTGTTGTGCAAAGTACAAAAACATCTTTTTGTTGTTTGTCAAGACACAAATTGTCAACACAAAAAGCCGGCCCACAACTCACAACGCGTCCAAAAAAAAATGCCTTGGAATCAAAAATCCGAATTCGGACAATTCTTAGTTGTTGTCTAGACAAGAAAAATCCAAAGTTTGAGAAAAATCCCTCTACTCACAAAAAAGGTATTACGGCGTAAAGTTTTACGAACAAAATGTTAAGGAATTCGTCAAAATTTCGATTTTTCCGATTTTTCTCATATTCACTCCAAAAGAACGTGCCAAACGTTGTATTACAAAGTTGTAGCCCTGGTTTTACTCTTTCTAACGATACCCTTGCCATTTCTCTGGATTTTGTTTGCGATGAGTTCTGAGGTTTTTCCCGGCGTCACTTTTAGACAAATATAGGAAAGAGTGCCCATTTCAGGACCGCAGAAGCAAAATTGAGTTCCTAGGTGTTTTTATTCTGAATCTATATTAAAAAACACTCCAGAAGATGTGTATTCCAGTATATTTCATAAAAGAATATTTATTTGTATATATTTGTAGGAATAATATGATAAAAGTGATAGATAAAACAAACTAATTTACGAAAGTTTCTTCCTCAACTTCTTCCTCAGCATCATTTAGAAGGACTTGGATGCCTAACCACTTCACAGCCTGAAGAAGTCGTTCGCTTTTGCTCTTCTTGTGGCGCTTGATCTCCGTTTCCAGCTTATTGTGGATAGCTTCAATGCCCTCTTCGGTCACGGCTCCGATCATCCGATGTTGTGCCAGAAACGAACCCAAATGCGAGACAATACAGTGAATAAGGGCGCTAGATCCAAGCCCCCGACTTTCCTATTCATAGTCAAATGTCGTTTTTCTACAACTTGCTTGAACGCCTTCCAAAGTTAGCATTTTTTCAAACAAATAGTTGCCCACCTTGATCTTGGTGTGAAGGATCGGTGGAATAACCATGTTCGTTGGCACCGGGATGACATCCTCTTTTTTGGGGACCAGCTTCAAAGTTGCAATCATATCCAGTTCTGAGTAATTATCCGGGCCTTCCCATAAGATCAATGGGAGAAAGTTAAAAACCGAGCACGGCTTTTTGCTGTTTGGATATGAGACCGTAGCCATGACTCGATTATCGCCTTTATCAAGAGAGAACACCACGATTTTCTTTTGACCTGGGTCCAACTTCAATGCACTCGCTTCCTATTTTGCACTATTTCTTGAGGAACACACTCTATTCATGGCGCGTTCTCGACTCTTATCTGGCAGATCTATGTAAATTCTCTCACGGAATTGTCTGTATAAAAAACTATTTTAGGAAAAAACCAATGTTTTTAATATAGATTCAGAATAAAAACACCTAGGAACTCAATTTTGCTTCTGCGGTCCTGAAATGGGCACTCTTCCCTATATTTGTCTAAAAGTGACGCCGGGAAAAACCTCAGAACTCATCGCAAACAAAATCCAGAGAAATGGTAAGGGTATCGTTAGAAAGAGTAAAACCAGGGCTACAACTTTGTAATACGACGTTTGGCACGTTCTTTTGGAGTGAATATGAGAAAAATCGGAAAAATCGAAATTTTGACGAATTCCTTAACATTTTGTTCGTAAAACTTTACGCCGTAATACCTTTTTTGTGAGTAGAGGGATTTTTCTCAAACTTTGGATTTTTCTTGTCTAGACAACAACTAAGAATTGTCCGAATTCGGATTTTTGATTTTAAGTCAAAAGTGTTTTCCCATAGTAGCGGATTCGATGTGCAACTGTATGTCAAAAGGAGCCAAAGGAGTACGTGAAAGAATTGCAAGAATTTTTCGAATAAAGTTTATATCTGTCTTACTTTGGTAAATGATAAAACTCTTTAATAGTACTGCACTCTCTAATCGTATTGCGGTCCAGGAGGGGGTTCAAAAAATAGTAGTGCGCACTACTATTAGAGAGAATACGGTAAAAAGTTTTTGAATTTGTTCAGCTTTTGGGCAAATTGACTGCACAGAAGAAGAGGTGGCCAAAAAAAAATGGAAGGGTGCCTTTGGATCAAGTTTTGGCTCCGCTCAAATTGAGTTAACCGTTTGATGTTTGGCCAATAGATATATCAATACAATTTTTTTTTTAAATGTACCAATTTCAGAGCATTTTTACTTTTCTTTTCTTTTCTGGGCGGCTATTTTACACCATAAAACTTGAGGAATAGCTAAGCTGGAATGGGTTTTTTCGAAAACGACCTCTCCCTTTGTGCAGTCAATTTGCCCAAAAGCTAAACAAATTCAAAAACTTTTTATATCAAAATGTAGAGGAGATCTTCAGCTTTCGAATGATATATAACACTCATCTACATCTGTTCGATATCTTGAGAAATTTACAAAATAGTAAAAACGCGCATTCATAACTGGACAACCCAATAGAAAGAGATCGAAGAGATTTTCGTTTTTCGTTTTGCTTTAAAAAAAACTTAAGTTATGATAATGAGTTTCAAGATTTATAAGATAATAAATTAAGTTAAGATAATAAGCTTTAAGATTTTTACAAATTTTAGCTTTTGAGATAAAATGATTAGCGGAAAAGTTGTTAGTGGGGATACCCGATGGGCGGCGGCGAGCACTCCCCTCGGCCTCTCGTCGCCTTTCAAATTCCCGCAACATCGGAAAGCGCACACGCAGCCTGAAAGTGCACAAATTGTCAAATTATGGATGAAGATACAGAATGCATATTTAGTCTTGCGCTTATATGCATCTTTTTTTGACTTTCTAAGACAATACATTAAGTTAAGCTGAAAAACAAAAATTAATCATAAAATCTATGCGGAATTTTACATAGAATAGAAGAACTGTAACATTTTTTTTTATTGACTTTGACAATCCGAGCCATACAAAACAAAATCCTGTACGGAAAATTGAAAAACAGTTAAATTCGAGTTTCGGGTCTCTAAAAAAATGGTTATCGAACATTTCCCATTAGCAATCCAACTTTAAGCTCAAATATCTTGGTGTTGAGCTGTTCAATTTAAAAAGTGCTTATATCAATCGATAGAGAAAGACTTGGCGCATCCAATGATACCAAGAATATTTAAATTGAACAGCTCAACACCAAGGAATTTGAGCTCAAAGTTGGATTGCTAATGAGAAAAGAAGCGTGGCGCGTATAAAAGGTCCGACGCTCCGCCCCTTTTCCCATTAGCAATCCAACGTTAAGCTCAAATATCTTGGTGTTGAGCTGTTCAATTTAAAAAGTGCTTAAACCAATCGATAGAGAAACCTTTGGCGCATCTAATGATACCAAGAATATTTAAATTGAACAGCTCAACACCAAGGAATTTGAGCTCAAAGTTGGATTGCTAATGAGAAAAGGGGCAGGGCGCGTATAAAATTTGCGATAACCCAAAACGAGTCAATAGATAAGAGGTACGATTATTTTTGCACAAAACTATTGCAACTTTGCATTCCCGATCATAAATCCCGGATCAACAAGTTTTTTCGAACATTCTACAAGTAAATATGCTTTTCACAAATACACTCTCATCCTTTTTTTTCAAAAATTTATCGTTATTGTGACCCAATCTCGTGATCAGATCATTGATCTGAAAAGAAAATCGCTCTCCAAAAAGGTTCATGCTCGATTCATCAATGGGGCACCTGTCAGTGGACACTCTCATCCACCTCCAAGGGAAAACAACGATTTTCTTCCACTAACAAGGCATCCCACTCAAATAAACGAGAGAAGATCGCTCGGCTTTCTTTTTCCAGCTTTTGGTCAGTTTTTTAAACTTTATTTGCAAGTGCAAGTCTTCTTTTCCAGTAATAAAGATGGTTTTTCGTGAAGAAAGAGTTCATGAGTAAGCCATGGATTAGTTTAGAAGAAGGAGAAAGAGGACCAAGCTGAGAGACTCCTTCATAAACCTTGCCTAATCCCTGTCTCTTCCTCAAAACTTTCCCGTTTGATCATCCAAGCAAAAGGAAAATTCCCTGAATCATTTTCTTGTTCTTTCCTTCTCAAATAACAAAAGGGTTTTAAGTAACTTGATCCAGTAAAACATTTGAAAGTTATTGACGTTAACATTTGAAAGTTATTGAATAATGTTAAAGCCTTTTGTTTTCTATTATCTATATAAAGAAAAAGAAAGGAATAAAGGTAGAAACAATATGATTCATTCGTAAAAGAAAAGGGATTTATGGGTGAGCTAATGGCTTTCACTAATGGCTTTAAAAGCATTTTTGAAGCAAAAAAAAAAGAAAAAAGAAAGTCTAGAGAACATAAAAAGAGTACTTACATGTGATGATCAGTGTGAGGGCCACAGCCATAGCCACTGAGGCGACAAGGGCCAATGTGCCGGTGTCGGTGCGCTGCTCGCGTTCCCCAGTCAGCTCACGTCCAATGTCCACTGAAAAAAACTTCCTCATTACCCCAATCATTCAGTTTATGTTTCTTTTATGTCTTTTTTTTGTGCTTAGCCTCTGTTTACACAAGGAATTTTGGATTTGATTCAATGAAGGTTGATCATTGAAGTCAGAAGCTTGGTGGTGAAGAGAAAAAGATTTATTTTTTTCACTAAAGAAGGCTTAGAAAATGATTTGAAAGTAAGAAAACATGGAAAAAAAAATATGAGAATAAGCTGAATAAGCTAAGAAAGAAAGTTAGAATCGCAAAATGATAAAGAGAATTGAATCAAAATGATAAAATGGAGGTGAATCGCAAAAGTAAGTATTATGCTCAAGCAATTTAGCTTAAAGGAATTTAATTTATTAAATTTCGAATGAAAAGTACAAACCGATCACCGTCGAGAGTGCTTCATGCCATTTATCCGTTTGTACAAGATGATTGACTTTTAAAAGCATTTTCTTCCTCTCCTCAACACTCACATATTTCTCAGCTAATCGCGCCGGCCAGATCACCATCTAAAACGTTTTAGATTTTGTTCATATACCGTATTTTCTCTAATAGTAGCGCACCCTGAGCGTCGCCTAAATTGATTGAAATCTCGAGAAGCGCTTATCAGAACCTATCGATGTGGGGTCGGAAAATGTAGCTGACGATGAGATCTAGTGGGGGATTTGAGTGTTGAGCTTCTGCAAAAGCTTGGAAACCGTAAAATAGGCATCAACTGGGCTCGCCGGGGTGCACAACTATTAGAGGAATACGGTATTTTCGAAATCTTTTTGAGTTTTTAGCTTGCTTTGAGCTAAACTATTAAGCTAAAATGTGTGAGACCACGACCAGTTATTCGAGAGACTGACATTTATCCCTTACACTAATTACTTGTTGCGAAGACGTTGATAAGTAGGATTTTTCCAAAGCCAGCCAGATGTTTACCGTATTTTCTCTAATAGTAGTGCACCCAAATTGATTGAAATCTCGAAAAGCGCTTATCAGAACCTATCGATGTGGGGTCGGAAAATGTAGCTGACGATGAGATTTAGTGGGGGGTTAGAGTGTTGAGCTTCTGCAAAAGCTTGGAAACCGTAAAATAGTCGTCAACTCGGCTCGGTGCGGTGCACTACTATTAGAGAAAATACGGTATTTAATCTTGGTACAGTTGACAGCAGATAAAAATTCAAAAGTTGTTTTTACTTGTAAAAACAAAATCAAATTTATCAGTGAAAAATCCATCAAATCCATCTCTATTTGAACCTTTACTAACAAAGAAAAGTCTAATTTAAACCCTGCTAATCTCAACTTTTCTTTTCTTCTAAATCCAAAATAAGGAAATCTCATAAATCTCACAAATCTCACCTTTTCTTCTATCATACCTTTTTATAATGTTCCCAAACAAAGATGATGACGGAATTGCCGCAATCGCCGAGTGCCCATCGACCCTCAAGCGCTTTCGTAAAGCTCTCAGCCCGTTCTGTGAGTTGTCTGCAAGAAAAAAAAAGATAAGAAACAAAACAAAGGTAAAAGATTAAATCTTTTAAAGTTTACAAAAAAGGTTTATGAATGTATTGAGAAACTGAGAAACTATCAAAACGAACACTTCACTCGGCGAATGAATAGTCATTTGCAAGTTGCTCACAACGGCGATTGACACCACAAAACCGTGAGAGCTTTCTTCTAATCCATTTTCTGAATAAAATAAATATACAATCGAACGTATATAAGGAACCTAAAACGTGCTCAAAATTTTTGCGTAGCTGCCCGAGCCAAACGCAATCAGTGGCCGTCTAGGGCAGCTATGCAGAAAATTTGAGGCAATTTTTCAGTCCCTAGCGATTCATTATTATCGAAATTCGATTTTATCAATGATCTAGCTTTCTTTATTTACTTGTTATGCATTGTGATTTCCGTTGACACTGACATTTTGTGCCCAGTGAGAGCTCGTGCAACTGTCGATTCAAAGCAAGAGCTAAATAAGCAAGAGTAATTCAGAAAGCTTATTAGAATTTTTTTTTTAGGAAAAAGGTTCAAAGATGAAGAAAAAAGAAAAAGAAGGAAAAGGCTTTTATTTGATGGGTGCGGAACCCGTGTGAAAATCCGTCCAAGAAAATGAGATGAGGCCTCAAAACGCTTGAAGTTGAGTGACAGAAATCACTTCACCAGGTATCTTTTTCAAAAAGATCTTTAAAATTCTCAAGAACTTCATCAGCTTTAAAATAAGAAATTTTACCTTGGCTTGTGTTCAGGATGTTATCCGGATCGCAAATATAAAGTGATTGTCCATGTGGCATCGCTCGAACACATTGGGACACTGATGAACCGCTAGAATTTTTGTTAGAAGTTTGATTTGCTTATTATTGAGCTGTTTACGAAGCTGATTACTTAAGAAATTTCGATAATCTTTCAAATTCTTTATTTCTTTATTATACTATTATTATTATTTATTATTATTCTTTAAATTCTTTATATCTTTTTTTAAAACCAAACCGCAAATCAGGGAATTGAGTCGAAGTCCAAGTGGCAGCGCCAACAAAATGCGGCAATAATTGATAGAATAGAAAAAGTATTCGTAATAAGCGCATTATGGAATTTGAAAATGATTTGAAGGGGAAGAGGAGGTGAAAATTTGAGGAGAAAGAGAAAGAAAGAGGAGAGGCTCGGATTGCACTCAGTAAGAATGTCAGTGAAGAGAATGGGGAGACAACTGACAGCGTTTTGGGCAACGATCGACTGATCAATGCTGAGCAGGAGCCTTTTTCTTTTCTTAGGTGAAGAGTGGGGGGGAGGGGGTGGTTGTTTAGGGGAAGAGTGGAGAGTCTTAAGCCCCACCCAAGAGTCCCCGCCCTACTTTTTTCCCCTTACTCTCTTCATAAAGCTTCACAAAAACGTAAGAGAATGAAGAAATATGATGAATCTTTGCTAGCTGTTTTCCCTGTGTATTAAAGTTTTGAATAATGATTGAATTAGAGCATAGACTGTCTTTATTGTATTGTTTTTGTCTTTGTTAGGAGAATTGGAAGAAATGTGAAGAGATTCTTGCAATTCTCCCGCTGATCAACTTCTAGATCTGATCATCTTGCGATGCTCATGATCTTGCGACGCTCTTGATCTTGCGATGCTCATGATCTTGCGATGCTCTTGATCTTGCGATGCTCTCGATCTTGCGATACTCTCGATCTTGCGATGCTCTCGATCTTGCAATGCTCTCGATCTTGCGATGCTCTTGATCTTGCGATGCTCTTGTTCTTGCGATGCTCTTGATCTTGCGATCATCTTGCAAAATCTTTTGCTAGCTATTTTCAGGAAACAAGTTTAAACGAATTTTGAAATAATTCAGAAGAATCTTTCGTTCAATTGTGTGTGAGATTTTCTCTTGATTTCAGCTAAATCATTGCAATTTTAGTTTCTCTCTCTTGTCCTTCACTTTACACGCTCAATACGTAACGAATGACGTATCGGAAAAAGGATTCCCAATGAAATGACTATCCAAAAACCCACAGAACGTTCTTTTCCCCAGATCATTTCATGATAAAAAGGCATTGCTTGAAAATAGCTCATCCAATTTATTTCAAGTCATTGATTTCTTTCTCATTCTTTCTTTGCAAGCTCATTTGCCAAGAAAATAATAATCTATTTGCAGAATACATCTAATTATATACATTCTCATTAAAAAGATTTTGACTTTTGAGATTTTGACGATCATAGACTAAGAACTCAAAGATTTCGTCGCCAATTTCTCCAAGAGGCCAACGATCAAGAAGACAGATAGAGCTAAATTGAAGCTGAGAAAAAGAAAAGAGAGATAAAAGAGAGAAAGGAGGTTTACTTCTGGTGTTGTTGGTATGGTAATGTAGGTGGAAAAAGATATGAGGTGAGAGAGGGCAACTCGGGACGGCACTGCATCAAAAGAGCACCCGATCTCTGTGTGCCTTTCTCTCACACTCTTTTGTTTTTTTCTCTTTCTCTGCGACACACACTACAATTATGGACTTTTGTGCTTGCTTTACGACCCTCGAATCGAAAAAATCTATGCAAATTTTCTTTCACTTTCACTCTCTGATTGTCTACTCGTTTTCTATAGTTAATGAGCTTTAAGTGATTTTTTTATTTGCTTTTTTTTAAACGATTGTTTATATTTTAAAAATTACTTATTGATCTTCATAAAAACTTTTTTTTCAAAAGTTCAATGCATAATTTCTATTCAGGTGATGGCATCAAATAGTCAGGCATCACAACCGGAAGAGCTTTGTCTTGTTTGCAATGACATTTCAACCGGCTACCACTATGGAGTTCCGTCTTGCAATGGATGGTATGTGAAAAACTTTCGAGAGCTTTAAACAAATTTAATAAGGATCATTTTAAAATCAACCTTAAGTCGATCTGATTACTGCAAGTCGAGTTATAGAGTAAAATAGAATAGTAAGATAGCAAATAGTTTAATTAATTGAAAAATGAGTTTAAAAACATTATATAACATATATTTATTTAACAAATCGTTTAATTAATAGAAAAATGAGCTTAAAAAGATTGTATTTATATAACAAATAGTTTAATTAATAGAAAAATGTCCTTGAAAACATTATGTAACATATACTTAGATAATAAATATTTTAATTAATGGAAAAATGAGCTTAAAAACATTATATAACATATATTTATTTAACAAATCGTTTAATTAATTGAAAAATGAGCTTAAAAACATTTTATAACGTATTCTTAGATACCAAATAGTTTAATTTGATAGAAAAATGTCCTTGAAAACATTATATAACATATATTTATATAATAAATAATTTAATTAATGGAAAAATTCGAAACTTTCAGCAAAACATTTTTCCGACGAACAATCATGAAGAAACAGACTTTCGTCTGCCAATATGAGAGTAAATGTCCGGTCGATAAAAGTAAAATAAACACAAATAATCGCAAATAATCGCAATCATTCAGGTATTCGATGCGCTTGTCGGCACTGTCGCTTCGAGAAATGCCTTAAAGTCGGCATGGATAGAAATGGTGAGTTCTTAAAAAAAAAAGAAAAGAAAAATTGATCCCACATTTCAGCAATTCAACAAAATCGTGATCCAATCGGTTACACAAAACGCACAAGAAGGTATCCACCAGTGAAAAAGCTTTCATCCTCGGACGAGCAATCACCACTTGTGAAAACGGTTAGTGTAAGTGTTTGAAAATGAAAATGAAAACATTATTTAACATATATTTATATAGAAAAAATCGTTTAATTAATGGAAAAATGAGCTTAAAAACATTAAATAACGTATAAATTATACTTTTTTATAACCAAATTTAATAAGGATCATTTTAAAACCAACCTTAAGTCGATCTGATTACTGCAAGTCGAGTTATAGAGTAAAATAGAATAGTAAGATACCAAATAGTTTAATTAATTGAAAAATGAGCTTAAAAGCATTTTATAACGTATACTTAGATATCAAATAGTTTAATTAATAGGAAAATGAGCTTAAAAACATTTTATAACGTATACTTAGATACCAAATAGTTTAATTAATAGAAAAATATCCTTGAAAACATTATATAACATATATTTATTTAACAAATCGTTTAATTAATGGAAAAATGAGCTTAAAAAGATTGTATTTATATAAAAATAGTTTAATTAATAGAAAAATGTCCTTGAAAACATTATGTAACATATACTTAGATAATAAATATTTTAATTAATGGAAAAATGAGCTTAAAAACATTATATTTATATAACAAATCGTTTAATTAATAGAAAAATGTCCTTGAAAACATTATATAACATATATTTATTTAACAAATCGTTTAATCAATTAAGGAAAATCTCAATTTCAGCCAGATCCTGTTGAAGCGGCGGAAGATATGGCTCTTGCCAGACTAGCATCTTTAGAGCAACAATGTCAACAACTTCGAGCAAGCGATTTCCCCGCTGTAAGCTAATCGTAAAAAAGCTAAATGCAAATTGGATACTCTGCAAAAAGTACTTGAAAGATCTCAAATGAATCTGAACTTTTAGCTAGACATCACTTTGGGTGAAGCGGTTTCATCGCCTTGTCGTCTTCTCGACACCATTTTTATGGCAAGGCACACGATCCCGGTATAGTTAATCGATTATAAAACTGTTTATTTTACTTTGCTTCTTTTATACCATATCTAGACGTGCTGTAGGCTTAATTAGACCTTAATTAGCTTAGACCATTAAGTAAAATCATAAAGTTTTCTTTTTCTAGACTCATCTCCCAACCATACTGAGACAAGCCACTCAAGAAGACTATGCATATTGGCATGACAGGTGAAACTTTAAAAAGGTTTTACAATCAAATTACAATCACTTGAAAGCTTATTTTGAAATTTGAACATCAAAAAGTAAGAAACCCAGGGAGTGGGACAAATGCGACCTTTTCTTTGCGCACCCGGACATTTGCGCACCTTGCCCATTAGCGCACCTTTTTTCGCGTTTTAAAGAGCTCTAAAAAGCTAATATTAACCAATTTCTATTCCAAAAGTTGTTTTTCTAGGTAATTTTAGGGCGTAGAATCGAAATTTTGACATATCAGAGCTTGTGGAAACAAACGGACGGAGTTATACAAAGAGAAAGATCGACAATTTTCTGTAATTTGATCTAGCCGTCTTTCAAAGACAAAACGTCTTTCAAATTGGTTCCACACGCTCTGTTATGTCAAAATTTGAATTCGACACCCTCAAATTACCTAGAAAAACAACATTTGAAATAGAAATTGGTTAATATTAGCTTTTTAGAGCTTTTTTAAAATGCGAAAAAGATGCGCTAATGGGCAAGGTGCGGAAAAAAAGGTCGCCTTTGTCCCACTCCCAAAACCCATTTGTTTGACAAACAAATCCAATCAAATATCGCTTTTCAGAGATTGGCGAATCATGATCGAATGGGCAAAGACGATCCCCGCTTACCAACAATTGCCCACAAGTGACAAAGTAAGTAAAGATGAACAAAAAAACGAATGAAAACATTGAAAACATTGAATTTCTAGGTTGCTCTCCTTCGGCACTCAGCCATCACTTATCCATCATTAGTTTGGTGTTTTTATTCGCCGGATCATGGCCCGGAAACAATCGTTTTCCCGAATGGCGCATATTTCAACAAAACGCCTGAGGTTTTGAGTAAAAATCTCTCAATTTCTGAAGAAACTTTAGCCTCAGCGACCCGCTGGTTTCATTCGAAGAAAGCATCAAATTCTTGATCAATTACTTCAACCAGTTCGACAAATGCAAGTCGACACCACTGAGTTTTCCGCTTTTAAAGCGATTTTCTTCCTAAATCCAGGTATTATAGTAAAAGTTGTATTTTAATTTAAACCTTTAATTAGATGCTGATGATCTAAATCCCACATCAAAGCCGATTCTTTCGGAAGGTCGAAGCGCAATCACGAATGCTCTTTACAGATACATGGTGAAAAGGAAAGGAGCTGAAGATGCCGGTGATAGGTCAGTGATGAAAAATAACTATAAAACTAAAGCTTAACTGAATATTTAAATAAAACAATACTTGTTTCTAATCTATAAAAAGCTCGGCTAAAGAATTTGAAGTTGGGAAAGATGAGAAGACTAGACATGGGCGCTATAAACTACAAATGCTTCTAACTTGCTTCAAATCTGTTGGATTGACACCATCTATAGCTTAAAAATTAGAGAATCTCAAGAGCTTTTGAATGGATTAAAGCAACACAAAAAATATAAATCCTAAAGAAAGTTACAGTGGTTTGTAGTCTGGCTCGATTGCTTTAACTACGTGCGAGTACGGTCCGGCTACAAAGCACTGTAACTTTCTTTAGGATTGATACTTTTTTGGTGTGCTTTAATCCATTCGAAAGCTCTTGAGATTCTCTATATTTTGAGCTATAGATCATATCAATCCAACAGATTTGAAGCAAGTTAGAAGCGTTTGTAGTGTCCATGTCTAGAGAAGACGACTTGAATACGTTGACAGCTTTAACTCTAGTCTCTGATTAGCACAAAAGTTTTGCGAATTTTCTCAGAAAGATGATATTTGATGAACATAATATCCAATCGAGATTTCCATGAATCTTACAGATTCGGTCGTGTCCTCCTCCTTGGCACAGTTTTAGCCACAATGGCTGTTGAAATGCGAGAAGCGGTGGTGGTCGCCGATTTCTTCGATCAAATCAAATTCTCTCCATTCGCTAAACAATTGCTTTTTGGCTCAAAAATCGAAACCCATTCGTTCGAATGATCGATTTCCTTTTGAGATTTTATGAGATAAACTCGAGTCAAGCATTCATTCAACTGCCTCAATCATTTGCAAGAATAAAAACTTTAATGCTCAGATTTTCAAAATTTTCGATATTTTCCTTTACCTCAAAGTCCCATAAATCTGTTTTTTTGAAATCAAATTTGTTTCTCTTGAAACCCAGTTTTGAATCTTTTAAATCTTTTAAATCTTTTGAATCTTTTAAATCTTTTAAATATTGTATATCTTTTAAATCTTTTAAATCTTTTAAATCTTTTAAATCTTTTAAATCTTGTATATCTTTTGAATCTTTTGAATCTTTTAAATCTTTTATATCTTTGTTGTTGTTGCATTGTTGTTTATGCTTTTAGATTCATTATAGTGATAATTTTTTGTTAGGAAACTTTTTATCGGAAAGTGATATATTTTTGTGTTTTGCCTTCAGTTCAGTTCCCTCAATTAGTTTCCTCATTTGTGATAGTTTTGTCCACACTTTTTTTGTTTGTTTGGTTGTGTGATTTCATATCATTTTTTTTTTTTTTCGTTGAGCTTTCCTTAGTTCTGAATAGTCACTGAAGTAGATTGATTGTTCTGAAAAATCTCTTTGAAAAAAAGTTTTCAAAACTTTGTGATCATCGATAGCTCAAAAGTGTTATGTGCAACAAAAAAACTGTATAAAAAGATTGAGTTGTTGAATACACTCGCGTATTTGTGCCGTTAAAAGCAATGGCAATTCATTTGATAAAATAATAATAATTCATATCAACTGGGGTTTTTACCAGTGGTGGGATTTATTGCATACATACGAAAGACACAAATCACAATACACACACAATACTAGACTATATCTGAAATTAACTCACGCCTTCCTCAGGTGGCTAAACCCCACTCTTAATGAGTAGGGTTTAGCCTCTAGACATGGACACTACAAACGCTTCTAACTTGCTTCAAATCTGTTGGATTGACATGTTCTATAGCTCAAAATATAGAGAATTTCAAGATCTTTTGAATGGATTAAAGCACACCAAAAATATAAATCCTAAAGAAAGTTACAGTGGTTTGTAGCCGGACCGTACTTGCACGTAGTCAAAGCAATCGAGCCAGACTACAAACCACTGTAACTTTCTTTAGGATTGATACTTTTTTGGTGTGCGTTAATCCATTCGAAAGCTCTTGAGATTCTCTATATTTTGAGCTATAGAACATGTCAATCCAACAGATTTGAAGCAACTTAGAAGCGTTTGTAGTGTCCATGTCTAGAGAAGACGACTTGAATACGTTGACAGCTTTAACTCTAGACTCTGATTGGCACAAAAGTTTTGCGAATTTTAAACCCTACTCTCTTTTGATGCAGTACCGTCCCGAGTTGCCCTAGATACAAGCCCAGATAAATCACCAAAAAACCAGTCACTCAAAGATTAAAAACTTTATAACAATCTTTATTTATATGTTAACAAGTGTCAGTGACAAATTTCAAAAATTCCTTTGTCAACTTCAAGACGTGGCTTCTTAAAGCATGGGACGAGCTTGATGTTGCCTACTTGCGTGTCACAGTTGACGTCAACTGTGACACAAAAATTCCTTTGAATATTACTTTGTTCTTTTATTCTGTGGTAGTTAAGTTCGTTTAGTCATCATAGCTTTATTTTTGCATTTATTTTTGCACACATTTACAGTAGTATTGCAATTTTATTAAGCATAAAATGATTCTAATCAAAATTTTATTCGACCCCTTCAATGGGGTTTTCTCGGTATGCGTGAGGGGAAAGACTGAAAAGAAGCAACAAAGTTGAGCTTCGTTTGTGATAAGAGCAATACAACTCTCTCAAAAAAGAAAGAAAGAAGGAAAGAAACGCATTCGTTTTCTAGGAAAAGGCGTATGCTTCCCGAGATGATTCGGAAGAATTTTGAAAAAACTGCACCCATGAATGAGAAGAGAAATATTTGAATTGATGGAAAAAAAAAGAGAGGAATTTGTGACTAACAGTTTTATGATTGACTTTGTAAGTAAAATTAATGAAATTCATTCTCGTGATCGATCAGATTCTAAAACATATTTCAATTCAATATCTTTCTAGTTATATTTAGAAAAAGAAATGAATATAAAACATTTAAGGAGATGTAAATCTATAGTTTAATCAATCAAGCAACTTGTTAGCCAATCAATAAGCTGCAAATGCAACAATAAGCTACATTCAAATGCACCAATAAGCTACATTCAAATGCAACAATAAGCTGCATTCAAATGCACCAATAAGCTACATTCAAATGCAACAATAAGCTACATTCAAATGCAACAATAAGCTGCATTCAAATGCAACAATAAGCTGCATTCAAATGCACCAATAAGCTACATTCAAATGCAACAATAAGCTACATTCAAATGATCAGGTTTAACTCGGTTTTTCTAGAATAACTAGAACTAGAATAGCAGGATTTCCTCAACAATATCTTGTGAGTTATGTGAAAACAATTTTCCTTAAACAAGTAAAATCTAATTCTACCGTCAAAACTCTTCAATCATTTCCAATCCTTTTCCGTGTTTACTACACAAACTCCATCCGGAATACAATTAATCGATCAATTTGACGCTTAATTATCCTTCTTCAACCCTTCAATGAGCCATTCAAAACATATGACTAATAGAAGTTTTTTTAAAAATTTTAAACCTCTAAAAACATAGTATCTCAAAAATTGAGTCAACACCATCACCAAGGGAGGAATGACTGTGCTTGAGGGTTTCTCTCACAGTCTCCACTCTCTACTCTTCACAAAATCAAATCTCGATCTCTCCCCAAAAGCACTCTCAGCGTCCAATCAGCGAGCTCGACTCGTAGTGCCATTCTTGGAAGAGCGATTCCTTATCAGTGGACTCTACTATTAAAAGGTGATGCAAGTCCTTTTTGAGGGAGTCTTCTGCGTGCCATCCCGCCTACGTGGCCTTACAGATAAGGCCTCTCTTTACGGCCTCTCTTTTTACGTTTCACTCTCTCAAATCAATGCTCATTCTTCTCATTTTCTGTCTTGCCTTACTATCTTCTAGAAAATCTCAATTTGAATCTTTTTTTTCTTATATTCATAGAAAATTGGCCAAATCTTGAAAGGGGAAAAACTAAAAAAATGTGACTGGAGTTTGTTAAAAGTTTTTGTTTTGTTTTTTTCGTTTTGTTTACTCGTTTTAAGCTTCATAAGATTCAAATATAGAGAAATAAGAGAAATAAGGATAATTTGTTAGACAAATGTTTCCAATATTAAACTCTGAGCCCATTTTGCTATCTTGATCTTGCCTCTTGTGAGATTTCCACAAAAAAAAGTGAAGGAAAATCGCGCCACCGTTATCAAAAGTAATACAGGGTTGAGAAGTCACGTGGTCTTTTTTGCTTGAAGATTCTCAAAAAGAGATTGAGAGATAGACTGTGCTTACCTATAAACCTATAAACGAAACATTTCCCCTCCCCATTTCCCCCTGCCACAATTCTCCCATCTATGCAAATTACAATTTCCAACTACGATTTCCCAAACAAAATTCAAACTTTTCGTAAGCTACTTCTCTTCCAGATTCCCTATTTGATAATTACTCTAGCTTTTCAAATATTTATTGCTATAAATCGTATTCTCTTAAATATTTTGACTAGAGTTTTCGTAGAGATTTTGCGAAAAAACAATGAAACAAAAAACAATTTCTTTATTAAAGAAAACGATAAACTACTCAAAGTCGTTAGTAAAACGATTGAAGAGAATTTGAAGAAGAGAAATGAAAATTTTGATGATAAAAAGGAAACTATTGAAAAGATTACTAGAAAGTTTATGACTGAATCCCAATTGCAAAGGGTTGGTGCATTAGCGGAGGATGACTCAGAGGTTTGGCCAAGAATTTCATATCATTCTCGTTCTTGAGTTCTTGTTCAATTCTTTTAAAATTTACTTGTTATTTTTGAAATTCAGATGGAAGACGAAATCGCTGCTCTCGTTATTGACAATGGATCCGGAATGTGCAAAGTGAGATTTGATAATGAAAATGAAAGTTTCCTATCAAATTCTATCAAATTTCAGGCCGGTTTCGCTGGTGATGACGCGCCTCGTGCCGTCTTTCCCTCAATTGTGGGTCGTCCTCGTCATCAAGTGAGTTTTGTAAAAGTATAAAAGATTGAAATAAAGTTATAAACAAGATTTGACACTGTATTTAGGGAGTGATGGTTGGTATGGGACAAAAAGACTCATACGTAGGTGATGAGGCTCAATCGAAGAGAGGAATCCTCACCCTCAAGTATCCCATTGAGCACGGTAAGAAAGAAATGAAATAAAAGCTGGAAATAAACCCTATTTCAGGTATTGTGACCAACTGGGATGACATGGAGAAAATCTGGCATCACACTTTCTACAACGAGCTCCGCATTGCCCCCGAAGAGCATCCAGTTCTCCTCACCGAGGCTCCACTCAACCCAAAGAACAACCGTGAGAAGATGACCCAGGTATACCATAATCTAAAGTCTAGAAAAATCTTTTCTTTAGATCATGTTCGAGACTTTCAATACCCCAGCGATGTATGTGAATATCCAAGCTGTTCTCTCCCTTTATGCCTCTGGACGTACCACCGGTGAGTTGTCAGTCATTTAAAGTCATTTAAGAATACATTTATTCACACGTAGTACAAACAAGAAACAAACACAATCTCTAAGCTCTAAATGTAGGGAAAGAAAAAAATAAATCCATATATCTGGATACAGGGCTCTTAGTCAGTCGGCTTAGGCTCGATGTCTTGCAACGACCATGATGGTCGTTGCAAGACAAACATCTACAACATCTACAACATCTACAACATCTGCAAACATCTACATCTTGTAAACATCTACAAATTGTAGGTATCGTCTTGGATACTGGAGATGGTGTCACGCACACCGTTCCGATTTACGAGGGATATGCTCTTCCGCACGCCATTCAGAGACTCGATCTCGCCGGACGTGATCTCACCGACTATCTCATGAAGATCCTCACTGAGAGAGGATACACTTTCACTACTACCGGTATTATGAACTTGGAAATAGGATTGAAATTTGGGAATTTCTAGCTGAGCGAGAAATCGTTCGTGACGTCAAGGAGAAACTCTGCTATGTGGCTCTCGACTTTGATCAAGAGTTGTCGGCTGCTTCCGCCTCGTCGTCTCTTGAGAAGAGCTATGAGCTCCCTGACGGACAAGTGATCACCATTGGAAATGAGCGATTCAGGTGCCCTGAAGTGCTCTTCCAGGTTAGATTTGAAATGCTTGTAAATGAAAGAGAAAGAAGACCAAAGAATTTTAGCCAGCTTTCATCGGAATGGAGGGTAGCGGAATCCACGAGACTACCTACTACTCGATCATGAAGTGTGACGTCGACATCAGAAAGGTTTCAATAGCTTACAAATGCTTAGAGCTTGAAGCTTGAACGCTTGAACAATATGAAAAGAAGCTTGGCAGCTTGACAGCTCAACAGCTTGACAGCTCAACAGCTTGACAGCTTAACAGCTTAACAGCTTGACAACTTAACAGCTTGACAACTTAACAGCTTGACAACTTAATAGCTTGACAGCTTAACAGCTTAACAGCTTGACAGCTTCTTACAACAAAATTTTAGGACTTGTACGCTAACACCGTTCTTTCTGGTGGAACCTCGATGTTCCCAGGAATTGCCGACCGAATGCAGAAGGAGATTCAACATCTTGCTCCAAGGTTTGTGAGAGTTAAGCTAACTGAGTGAGATATTAAATCAAATTCTCAACTGAAAAATATAAACATTTCTCAGCACGATGAAGATCAAGATCATCGCGCCACCCGAGCGCAAATACTCGGTGTGGATCGGTGGATCGATTCTCGCCTCGCTTTCCACTTTCCAACAAATGTGGATCTCGAAGCAAGAGTACGACGAGTCAGGCCCGTCAATCGTTCACCGAAAATGCTTCTAAACGCCGCCCCTTCCATCTCTGCCACCTCATCTCACATAGTGCAATACTCGAGAAATTTCCTCCCCTGTCCCTACGTTTGGTCTCTATTTTTCTCTATTTTTCTTTTTTTTTCCTTTTTCTTTTGTTGAATTTTTCTCTTTATTTCGCACAAAGTTCTATTAACAAAAAAATAAAAGCTATTCTGTTAAAGCTCTATTTACAAACAAACATTTGAAAAAGAATCATGAAAGGAAAATATCGTGAAGGCAATAGCTTTCACAATGCCCACGGGTTAAAAAGTTGTTGGCGGTGGATGGTCGTTGTGGATCCCATCTAAAAAAAAGAGAAAAAGTACTTGTAGTGAAAATAGGAATAGTTTTTTTTCTAAGAGTTGCGAATGAGTTAATGAAAAATCGAACAAATGTTTGATTGCACTTTGTGATTGTTTACCGGAATTGCACACAGCTTTCCCCATCCCAACCCCAACGACTCAGCGGTCCACTCTCGTGATCGAACACTGGTTGTTGGCATGATGTTTCTAAAAAGCTATGGAGTTGATTTGGGTTTAGTTATGAAAGCTTTCAAACCTTTCAAAGTTCTTAGTCTTAAAACTGTACTTTGATCCTTAACTCTGAGACTTAATCTTTGATCCTTAACTCTGAGACACCGAACTCGAACCAGAAACCCTTGCGTTCTTGAGCCTTGAGCCTTGCGTAACTCATTATCATTCGGACATTGCTGCAACTGTTGAGCTTGCGGAAGACAGGGTTGTAAGGTCGCGGTTTGGTTTTTGAAACTCTTACAAAACTTTAAACTCGTATAACTTTTGACAGAGTGCTCCATAGCAAAAACGGAAAGCAGATTCAGAATCAGCATGAAATTCCGCGAATGGCTCATGTGATTTGGCCAGTACATTCAGTTGACCTTCCCTTGTCAGTAATCAAATTTCATTGACTAACCCTGATTCGGACAACAGGCTCCATCAAGTGGTGGTCCGACTCCATGTCCAGAAATGCACTCATATCCTATTGGACACCTCTTCTCCGTTTTAACTCTTGATGAGCACAGAATAGGCACCGATCCATTTCTCCTGACCACATTATATCCGGCTCCGATTGGAAGGGGACAAGTGAGCGGACTTCCGATATCACCAGTCACTAAACTTTTTTGCTGATAAATTTGATGCGTACAGAGCGCTGAAAAGCCTATAGTTTTTCTAGTTTCAGCGAAATGAATGAAGATTGGAATACCTGCATCGTTGACGGCTAAACAGATCCATCCACGCGAGTCACTCGTTTTTCGCACTGTGTCAACTGGACATTTACATCGACCGCGTAAACAAAACGCTCCAGGCCATCGATTGTTGCATTCTTCACTCACACCACACTAACAATAAACAAGAATAATTGAATTGTTTTCGATTCTACATAAAATTAATCAACATTTTAATCAATTTCTTTATTGTTTAACGTTGTTGATTTGAAAAAAGACAAAAAAAAACTCACTTCTAAGGCAAAAAACGCAAGAAAACAGTCGAAGAATAAAAGTTTGATGATCGTCTTCATCTATACATTCCTCGAGATTTCTTTTGGGCTATAAAAGAGCTGATGTAAGCGTCATGAGTGAGGAAATTGATGAAATCAATATAAGTTGCTTTAAGTTGGAAAAAGGGAAGAAAGAAAAAAAACAGACAATGATTGGCAGAACACAAAACGCACAATGGACGGGGGGAAATGGGATGAAGAGAAAGATGAGAGGCTCGAAGGACACGAAAGTCAAGGGAAAAGTGAACCATCATTGGAATGAAAGAGACGAACGGAACGATCAAACGACCGGTCTCTTTTCTTCTCTTTTCTTTCTCTTGTTCTCCAAAACGGAACTCTTTCACAAACAATGCTTGCTAGAAAACAATGCTAGAAAAACAATTTTAGCGATAAAACTTTGGATGATATTGATATCGATAAAACTTCAATATTGAAAAGCTTTTCCTTTTTGAACAAAGGTTTTCAAAGATCAAAATTCAGTTTTTCAATAGTTTATAGAAGCTAGATAGTTTTTTTAATAGTTTAGAGAAGCTAGATAGCCTTCCATCGTTTACAAAAGCAACATAGTTTTTCAATAGCTTACAGAAGCTATATAGTTTTTTTAATAGTTTACAGAAGCTAGAAGCTTTTAATAGTTGATATATAGCCTTCAATATTTATATAGCCCTCACTCATGACTTCTATATAGCCTTCAATATTTACAAAAGCTACATAGCTTTTCAATAGTTTACAGAAGCTATATAGTTTTTTAACAGTTTACAGAAGCTAGGTAGCCTTCCATCGTTTACAAAAGCTACATAGTTTTCAACAGTTTACAGAAGCTAGAAAGCCTTCAATAGTTCACAGAAGGCTACATAGTTTTCAATAGTTTATAGAAGTTTACACATTTCAATCTTTTCATTATACATTTAGATTGTTTAAGCGAAATTTTGAGTATTTCAAATGCGAATTGTTTTGATTTCAAATCTAGCCTAGAAACGTTTTCTCTCTTACAGTTTGTTTATTTCTTTCTTTATTTCTTAACACAAAATCTATTGTGAAAGTTTTTCACCCAAAATTCGTCATTCTTGTCTATTTCGTGCTCGTCTCTTTTCTCTACCGTATTCTTCATGACAAGTGTTTCCATTGGATGGTAGGCGGGACTTCGACCGTCAGCACCTGTGGTGTAGTCTCTTTGTGCTCCCTCTTTCTCCCCATCGATGTGTGTCTAGGGGCAAGCAATATTGAGCAATTATTCCCGATTATCGATTAATTTTCATTTTCCCCTTTCTTTTCTTGATATCATTATCAACTCCATTGTTGCAGGCGTGCGGTTTCTTTGACGCTAAATGTCCTAAAAGAGAAATGGAAATGGATGGCATGTTTGGGATTGAATTGAATGGAGTGATGGAGGGTGGAGCTCATCAACCACACCACCATCGAGAGGAGTCAATGGATGATGATATGGACAGCAATACATATCAAGATGTTGCTGATGTGAGTGATATTGGGGAAAATAAATAAGAAATTTATTCGAAAAGATTTATTAGAAATGTAAACAAATAGAAAAAAAGAGATAAAGAAATAGCTAAACAAATAAAGTATTTTTTTTTCTTTTTCTAAATGAATCTACTTCTAATTTCTTTACTTTACTTTACCTAATTTCTTTACTTTACTTCTTTACTTACTTTACTTTACTCTATTTCTTTACTTCTTTACTTCTTTACTTCTTTACTTCTTTACTTCTTTACTTCTTTACTTCTTTACTTCTTTACTTCTTTACTTCTTTACTTCTTTACTTCTTTACTTCTTTACTTACTTTACTTTACTCTATTTCTTTACTTCTTTACTTTCTTTACTTACTTTCTTTACTTACTTCTAATGGCTTTATTCAAATTTAAAACCAAATTGTCAACAATTTTGAAAGAAGTATTAAAAATGGGTTTTACAATTAAAATAAACAATAATAAGTTTAAAAATATTAAGCTAAAAGATCTCTTCTTTTATTTCAAAATTTAAAACAAGATTTTTTTTGCTAGTTTTGAAAATAAATCAACGATTTTTAAGTTAATGAAGTCTAAGTTAATGAAAAAGTGCTGATTTAGTCAATTTTTATGCGCACTTTAATAACAAAAATAGGAACAATGATTTCTCAAAGGATAATCGATTCTTATCTACGACTTTCTGCCATCAAGTACTGCAATACTGCCAAACCTGCCAAGTACTGCCAAATACCAATCCTTTCCAATCCAAGTACCAATCCTTTCGCTTCGAATCAAAAGAACTCTTGGCAAGCTTCGTCAACTTCTTCCAATGTTTTTGTTTCCATCAAAAGCGAATCATAACTCGAAGCTCTTTTTCTTGAAAACTTATCTAGAAAACAAAGATCAACATTGGTAGAAAATTATTTTTAAAAATTAGCAAAAAAAGGCATAATAATGCATAAAAATGCAATAAAATTGAATTTTTCACAGCTAATTCAGAAATTTTTCCTCAACTTAATAACTTAAAGCAAATAAAAAAGCAAATTTTCGTTTAGGGACAAATCTCAGCGCCTCCGCCAAGCTCTTCATATCTGTAAGTTAAAAATAAAACCAATTTTGAGCACATACAAATTTCCAAAGTTTCAGCGAAGCTCCAAACATGGAAACGATCGATATTGGCTCAATGACATCATCGGTGAATCCAACTGGTGTTAAAGCTGGACCTCAGGATTTTCAATTGCTCAAAGTTCTCGGAAAGGGTGGTTATGGAAAAGTGAGTTGAAAATAAATCATAAAATAAATCATTCAAATGTTTCTAGCAATCAATAAAAGCTAAAAGCTTCTTTTTTTTAGGTTTTTCAAGTGCGTAAACTTACGGGTAATGATGCGAATAAAATTTTCGCGATGAAAGTTTTAAAAAAAGCGACGATTATTCGAAATCAAAAGGACACTGCACATACAAAGGTTTGAGAGAAAAGTGATTCTTTTGTTGTTAATTTCAAAATGATTTCCAGGCTGAAAGAAACATTCTCGAGGCTGTCAAAAGTCCTTTCATTTGCGATCTTCACTACGCTTTTCAAACAAATGGAAAACTTTATTTAATTCTCGAATATTTAAGCGGTGGCGAGCTTTTCATGCATCTTGAACGAGAAGGTGAGAAAGAAGAGGAGAATCTTTTCAGAGATCATTATTTTATGTATATTATGTACATAAATATGTACATAAATATGTACATAAATATGTACATCAATATGTACATCAATATGTACATCAATATGTACATCAATATGTACATCAATATGTACATCAATATGTACATCAATGTGTACATCAATATGTACATCAATATGTACATCAATATGTACATTATTATGTACATAAATACATTCATTATGTACATTTCACATTTTATTCACACGAATAATATGGTATAAACAGAAAGCATAAAAAATAGAGACGAAAAGAATGGAAAAAAAAACGCATGCGGGATTGAACCCATGACCGCTCGCTTAAGACCTCCTGCCTAAGAAACAGCTCTTAGCAACTCGGCTATCGGGCCCTACAAACCACCACGCATTTTCAGGTATTTTCATGGAAGAAACGGCGGCTTTTTATTTAAGTGAGATCATTGTTGCTTTGGAACATCTTCATCTACAAGGAATCATCTATCGTGATCTTAAACCCGAAAATATTATGCTTGATGGAAAAGGTTTCAAATTTTCTAATGATAAACTTTACAAAATATTAGGTCATGTAAAGTTAACGGATTTCGGCTTGTGCAAAGAGGCCATCGAAGGAGACGCCAAGACGCACACGTTTTGCGGAACGATTGGTGAGCATTCAATCCAAGAACTTCTTAGATATCTTATTGTTGCTGTTATTGTTGTAAAATTATTGCTTTCAGAATACATGGCTCCGGAGATTCTGATGAGATGCGGGCATGGGAAAGCGGTTGATTGGTGGAGTCTCGGAGCGCTCACCTTTGACATGCTCACTGGCGGTCCTCCATTCACGGCGGAGAATCGCAAAAAGACTATTGATAAGATTTTGAAGGTTATTAAGCTTATTTTGAGTTTTATTTTGATTCCTGAACTTGAGACTTCTACAGAATTAAAGATTTAATGTGCTAATCGATCAAAATCCTTTCCAGGGTCGTCTCACTTTGCCAGCTTATTTAACCTTTGATGCTCGAGATTTCATCAAGCGACTTCTCAAGAGACATGTTGAAACTCGTTTGGGTAACGCTTTTATCCAATAAGATTTTGATTTAATGATTTAAATCAAATCAAATTTTGATCTTAAACTTTTCAATTCGAATCCTTGTCATTTTTCAATTCGACTTCTTCCAATTTTCATTCTCTTGTCATTTCGATTTGTTTAGGAGCTGGACCAGCTGACGCTCATGAGATTAAATCACACGAATTCTTCAAAAACATTAACTGGGAGAGTGTTTTCTCGAGACAGGTTTGCAGAAAATTTTGGATTTTTTGAAATCTTCAAAAAATTTCAATTTCTACACACAAATGTTGTTCTTTTTCATTTTTTTTTTGATCGCCGAGATCGTCACAAGAGAATGTTTAAAAAATAAAGAGGCAAAGAGCTGTCGATCTGGGCTATTGATCGACTCATTGATACAACCAGCCGCTCTCCGATCTTTCCCTTATCATAGACAAAAAAAAATGTAGAATCAAAAATCATATAATCATAAAGAATAAATAAGAAATAAGAAAGATAATCAAAAAATCAAAAAAATCAAGAAATCAAGAAATCAAGAATCAAAGATACCTTTAGCTTGAGCCACCATTCACCCCGGAGATCGTTGATGAAACTGATGTGTCACTCTTTGATTCAAAGTTCACAAAGATGACACCGGTGAGTGAGATGTGAAAGGAACAGCGCTGGTTTTTGGAATAAATTGTCCAACCTCAAAATTGGTGGACATCATATCGGAAAGGCTTATGAGAAAAATGATATTATGTTTGCTCGCCAAACTCTGCGAGTTTTTACTCGCTATAAACATAAGATCATTTTTCTCATAAGCTTTTCCGATATGATGTATTGTCCACCAATTTCGAGGTTGAACAATTTATTCCAAAAACCAGTGCTTATCGGAAAAGCTTATGAGAAAAATGATATTATGTTTATAGCGAGTAAAAACTCGCAGAGTTTGGCGAGCAAACATAAGAACAATTATTTCTCAAACGATAATCGATTATTATCTTTCTTTGGGGAAATTAGATGTAAAATCAACACTAAAACAAAAAACTTTAGGTGGACTCACCATGTGATCAAACTTTCTCAATGCCTGGTGAAGAGAACCCGTTCGCTGGCTTCACCTACATCGCTCCATCGGTTCTCCAGGCGATGGAACAACCGAATGCGTCTAGGCTTAGGTGTGTCTAAGCAGTAATACTTTGAAAATAAACACTTAGTCTTATAATATAAACATTAACACTATATATATTACCAATATAAACATTACCATGAACTAATTGAAAGCGAATTGAACCAATCGAACTAATTTTAGAACACAGCGTCGTCATGTGAATTTGCCTCATCAGTTACCACATGCGATGGGTACGAGTAGCTCGTGAGTTTCAAAAAAATGATCTTATTTAAGATCTTAACTTATTTAAGTCATAGTTTTGTCTAACAAATCAATCTAATGCAATATTTTGTATACCGTAAATACTGTAATAGTGCCCCACCCGCATAATGACGGTTCGGAGTGTTGCGTAGTCTAGCTTTGAACGATTGTTTCTCGACACTGGTTTATGCTACAATGTGCGCTTAGATATCAAAAAAATAGCCTTGAATTTCAGCTATTTTTTGATACCAAAGACGCATTTTTTGAAAGTACGGGCGCTTTGAAAAAAATGGAATACTAAAAAACTTTTGCGACTACGCGACTGTACGAGGGGGATGGGGTACTATTACAGTATTTACGGTATCTGTTTTCATGTATATTGAGATTTTCAAATCTTCTAGATCGATGAAGACAAGATCTCTAATTCAACGTTTACTTTTCCCCCACTTCTGCATGAACTTATTCAAGAAGCTAAATACGAAATTTCTTTTGCAGAGTCTCTCCACAATTCCTTCGATATCAAACGGTGCCCGAAGAGAGCATGGACACGGGTGCCGGCTCTGGCTTCGGCTCGTCACCAAATCGAGCCAATTTCACTCAACCCTACACCCAGCCACAGCCGCTCTCGCGAGGCCCCCAACAGAAATATCAATGAGGAGGGCTGGCTCCGGCTCACAAGGTTTGGAAAAAGAGCTAGGGATTGATTTCGCTGACAAGGGAAGGTCAAATGAATAAGCTATGCAATGCGACCTATACAATTCTATAGAATTTTATGCTGATTCCGAAAATGTCTTCCGTTTTTGCTAAATGACAATCTGTTAGGAGTTATAAGTGTCTAAAGTTTTGTTAGGACCCCGAAAATGGGGTGATTTGGGTCTTAGCGGGCTTCAGCGGGTCATTTGGGGTGTGGCTTCGGTGCAGCTATGGCCGAGTGGTACAGCGTTCGTTTCCAGAGCGAGACCTCGCAAGTTCGATCCCTACTATGGATTCTCCTTTTCCTTTTTTTCAAGAAGTGTTGACTAGTGTTCTTTGTGTACTTTTTGAGTTCTAACAAAGCTTTAGACGCTTATAACTCCTTCCCTTGTGAATACCTGATTCAAGGAGGCAAGGCTCAAGAGTTTAGTAGTGTTCATCTAGAAAAGAAAAGTTGAACCCTACTGCCAACTAAGTTGAATCAAATACCTTTAGAATGTTGCCGTATTTCTTCGAATAGAAGACCGGGTAAAGAGTATGATCGCGTACTCCTGCGTAGCAGCCCTTTTTAAAATTTCTTTTCTGCATAAAAGCTTTCAATCAAGTGCTAGAGGGCTGGAAAATGGCTCAAAAATCTGTTAGCTCATGTGGTATTTTTGAGTCATTTTCCAGCCCTATAGCACTTCATTGAAAGCTTTTATGCAGAAAAGAAATTTGAAAAAAGGCTGCTACGCAGGAGTACGCGATGATACTCTTTACCCGGTCTTCTATTCGAAGAAATACGGTATATATCAATTCTGTGACAAACCCGAATGCAATCGACTTGATATTCGTCGAAAATCACTTTCACAACATCACCAGAACATAGACATGGACCCGAAACATTCACATAAACTCCACCAATCATTGTCGCTGCTATCGGAGCTGTTGTCATAAAGCCTAGAAATTAAGAAAATATTGGTCTTCTATTCGAAGAAATACGGTATTTGTTATCTCTGAAGCTCTTTTCCAGGTCGGGGCCACTACAATGAACCGATCTTCGCAATCTCCCACCAGCAATACCGTTAACAGGGTGAGTGAATAGAAATAGAAAAATAGAAAAGTTAGTTTTCTAAAACAAAATAGATCAACGGCAGATCTTGATAAGTTTAACAAAACATTTGAAAACGATTAAAATTTTAGCCAATTTTAGCCAATCGACGATAACGCAAATCCACACGAGGAACCGAATGCATTGCGTCGTTTATTTCAAAAGTTTTGGTAATCACTTTCTCTCAAAAGTTTTGCTATAATTTTTTGGTGCGTTTCACTAAATCTTTTCATTTATCGGAGCCATTCTCAAGCTAATTTTCGAAAAAATTTCTTTGCCATACGAAAGCTAATAACTTTTTTTTTGCTATTTTTGAGATTTTCATTGAATTGACACTCATTTATTTCAAGGTATTATGGTTTAATTTAAGAAAGAAAACAAGAAATTCTATTTTATGATTGACTTTTTTTGTTTGTTATCATAATACCTCCAGTAAAATAGCCTAAACTTAAACTTTTTTTAATCAAATAAAACTTGATTAACTTATAAAGTTTTATTAAATTAATAAGTTAATCAAGTTTTATTTTATTTTTACTTTTATTAACTTGATATCATGATCATGAAGTGTTTTGAAAGAGATTACAATACTATATTGTAGGTATTATGGTCTAAAACAGTTCCGATTTAAAAAGATTCGAATTAGACAGCTGTATTGAAGGGGAAAGTCGGGTTTCTTTCGGCGACTTTTTTTCATGATCATGAAGTGTTTTGAAAAAGATTACAATATTATATTGTAGGTAGTATGGTCTAAAGCAGTTCCAATTTTAAAAAACTCCTAATCAGAAAGCTGTATTGAAGGGGGAAAGTCGGGTTTCTATCGGTGACTTTTCTTATGATCATGAAGTGTTTTGAAAAAGATTACAATACTATATTGTAGGTATTATGATCTAAAACAGTTCCAATTAAAAAAAACTCCTGATCAGACAGCTGTATTCAAGGGGAAAGTCGGGTTTCTATCGGCGACTTTTTGCTTTTCGGCGACTTTTCTCATGATCATGAAGTGTTTTGAAAACGATTACAATACTATATCGTAGGTATTGGAATGTTTTGAAAAAGATTACAATACTATTATGGTCTAAAACAGTTCCAATTCTGAGCTCAAGTTTAGAAAATGAATTTAATGGGTAGCTATCGAAATTGAAAAGTTTAAAAGCTCTTTTTCTTAAGGATTACTAAGTAAATTGCGTGTCATTTCTAAAAAAGAAGAAAAGAAAAATCGTTTATGCCTTCATTCATTCATTTTTTTTCTTTTTTACTTTTATAAATCTATTCCAATATTTTTCAAATCAATCAATCGTTACTTTGTGTGTTATCTTTTTGTTTTTGTTTTGTTTTAACCCATCCCTAGACGTGCCTTTTGATTCATAGGATTTTCGATAGTTGTTGATTATTCGCAAATAGCTATACAAAAAGTTTTCTCTTCGAATTTTTCTTTATTTTCTTTATTTTTCTTATCTTATATCTTATATTCTTCTAATTCTTTATTTTCTTTCGAATAAGAACTTCTAAAAAGAACTTCTAATAAGATCTTCTAATAAAACAAAAAACTATCCGGATTATTGTCTTGAAAATCAATTTTCTCTTGTTGCGATTTTGAAAATTCTCTTTTTTTTTCAAACTTTTCGGGTGATTAGAGAAATCCTAAGGGAAAGCTATACGATTTTAGATTTGAATTGAATTAGAATTAGAATTGAATTTGATTAGAATTAGAATTAGAATTAAAATTTGAATTTGAATTTGAATTATTGGGTTGGTGAATTGAAAACTGCCGGACTTTGAACTAAAATTTATTCAACATAAAACCATCAATTCACTCCAAATAATTTCCATTATTATTGACGACTTCTGCCCATTTTACAGGCAATTTGCGGATTCCTCTTTCGTAGTAGGATTTTGGTTTGATTTTGGTTTGTGCGTGAGACAAGTGTGAGACTCAAAAATGGAGGAGTGGAGATGTCCCAGTTTGAGCACTTTCTTCAAAAGAAACCCATTTTGGTGTCAATAGAAAAGTTGTAGAGAATCAAAAATGAGGCTTAAAGCCAAATTTCCAAAAAGATACACTTAGTAGTTTCGCTTAAAATGCAAGTTTTGTGAAAATTCGTAAATTTCGCATTTCTTGAAAACCAGTTTTTGAATCGTTCTGAAAATTTGGATATAAGTTTAATTTTTGATTCTCTACAACTTTTCCATTGACACCAAAATGGGTTTCTTTTGAAGAAAGTGCTCAAACTGTCACATATGACAATAGCCGGCAGTTTTCAATTCACCAACCCGATAGAATTAGAATTAGAATTAGAATTAGAATTTGAAAGATATTATATTAAAAATTGCAAAACAAAAAAACCCCAGGCGATTCTCTTTTCCGGTTACTTTCTGCTAGCTTTTTTTGTCCGATCAGAGAATTATATTTTTTAAATTGAAATTTTCTGAAAATATATGTTTTTGATTGACTTTTATTTCCTTTTACTAAAAGATTTTATAAAATTTATAACTTCAAAACAATTTTGAGTAACAAAAACTTGTAAAAACCCGTTCTCCAATCAAATTCGATTCGGTTTTTTTTGAATCTTTAAGAAGTTTATGTTATTGATTATTGATTATTGATTATTGATTATTGATTATTGATTATTGATTATCAATTATTGACTATTCTTTTTGTTATTTCTTTGTTAGATTGCTCATTTTTCAAAAAAAGCCACGAGTTCACGAAAGAAAACCGTTTTTTTCTTTTTTTTTTTTGACAAGATTGAATAAATTTTTATCACCAAGGCCACAAAAAAAAATGGGGATTCGAAAATGAAAAAAAAAACGAAGAATTGGGCATTCAAGCTAGTAGAATAGTTATTTTATTGAAATAAAATTTGGCAAAATAGCTTGTCTCAGAATTTTCAATGATAAAATGAACGAAATTACTTGATTTTTTGAGTGGCTACAATTCCGAAGATTACAAATACTTTCTCAAATTTTATATGATACTTTAAATTATCAATTAACTTCAAAATTGATCTATTAGTTTAACATTATCAAGTAGTTGATCAAGTTTTTAAAAAACTCCTAATCAGACAGCTGTATTGAAGGGGAAAGTCGGGTTTCTATCGGCGACTTTTTTTCATGATCATGAAGTGTTTTGACCAAGAGATTACAATACTATATCATAGGTATTATGGTCTAAAACAGTTCCAATTTAAAAAAATTCTAATCAGACAGCTGTATTGAAGGGGAAAGTCGGGTTTCTTTCGGCGACTTTTTGCTCGTCACTGAACGCGGGAAGAAACGAGGCAGCCTAGAAATTGATTTTTCTCTAAAAAGAAAAGTCGATTTTTTTTGGCAAATCCATATACAGCAATGTACAAACACTTTCAATGATTCGTGGACAAAGGCATTCGGTCTTTTTTTTGCATTCACCGCATTACACACAAAAACAGATCCAGTTGAATGGTGCCAAAAGATGGGATGCCGTTTTTCGTGAAAGAGAAAAAGTTACCGCTAAATCTCAGTGGTTTTTCCTTTGAGATCGATCAAATCGGGTAGGCTACAGAAAATTTGACAAAAAAACGAATAGGTTTTGGTAGAGAAGAAAGGAATTGTTTTCAAAAGCTTTAATGTTTCGTTATACTGTAGCGACAATCATGCAGGACCTTTTGCTTCTTGAGTGCATCGTGCGATTGAGTGCCTGGTTGAGCCACCGCACCGCCTTTGATCGAAAGTCGCAATTGAGCGGAGAGTGCTGATTTCAGATTCTTCTGCAAATTTGTTTATGAATTCATCCATGATCTAGACTTTTTGAACAATTAATCGCACTTTGAAGATATACATAACTTTCTTTGAGATTTTAACTTTTTATATGTCGTAGTCGATTATGCATGAAATTTTTTGGCAAATCTTTCTAGTAGAGCAACCCTTTAATGTATGAGGACAATATTATATCATCTTGTAGCGAATTGAATTCTGCGTCGCTTGGTACCAAATTTGTGAGTTTAGGTTAAAAATTGCCGGCGCTACAACGTTTTATTCAAAATCGGCGGGACCTCCGTAGCCGATTATGAATGAGTGGGTCTAGGAGCGTCCAACCATCAAGTATTTAGTATCATTCAACGCAGAATCATTAATAATTGTGTTAAATTTTTTAAATTAGCAAGATTTGATGAAAAGAAAAAAAAATTAGAGCAAAAAACTGTTTGTTCAAGAGAAAACTTTGGAGCCCCATAATTTGTGTTCTTTTTATCCAATCTTTCTAATTTCAAAAATTTAACATAATTATCAATGATTCTGCGTTGAATGATACTAAATAATTGATGGTTGGACGCTCCTAGACCCACTCATTCATAATCGGTTGAAATTCATAATCGGCTACGACATATCGTTTTAAAGAGAAAACTTTATGCTTTCAAATGATATAAATATTAGGTTGGTCCATGAATTATGCCGTTTCTTATCCTGTTTCTAAATTTACAGCTAAATATCTTCTTTTTTTATCATCTACAAAGCAAAAAAAGAACCCCTTTGTAAATGACTGCCGAGATGTGCTTGGTGCGCGCGCACAATCGCTCCCCATCTGGCAAACCCTCCCGATAGATAGGTGTTCCCTCTTGGAATCGGTAAAGGGGAAGGAGCGGTGACCGAGCGAGCCCTCTCGACTGCGCCATTATGTTCAAACGCCCGTGACCAGTGGTCGCCCCAAATTCCCGCTACATCCGCTAATTCCCGCTACAAATGCCACAGTCCCCAAGCCAAAAACCTGATGTGCCCAAGCCCTAAAAGGCAATTCCATCCCTGATGACTGCGCCCTCCCGGCCACTGGGCATTACTATACCCAAATCTTTTGCCTTTTGATTTTTGCCTCAAATTTGACTCCATTTTTGTAAACAAAGTTGAAAATCAAAATAAATTTCCACCGCAAACGATGACGTCAGCGAGGGGGCGTTGTTTTTACGGGCCTCGATTCTCGATCGATACAAAAACTCTCCAAGTGCTGCTATCTGAAAATGCACTGATACGATCCATTCTTGAATTTGAATAACTATTAGGTTGGCAGCTATATTTTGTCCGTTCTTTTAATCTCGAGTTTCAAAAAAAAATGAGAGCAGCTTTAATTAGAAAATCTTGAATCTTTTTCGAAAAGAGTGATTTTTCATGATAAATTTATTCTTTTCTTTTCTTTTCATTTCTTTTCATTTCTTTATTATTAAAATGGAGGTTTTTTTGAATCAAAAACTAAATGAAATGATAAATGACACAGCATTATAAAAATTTTTAACTAAAAAAAAAAGTTTGAATAGATTGGTTGAATTTGAGTTTTTTTTCGATTTTCTTGATTTGTTCTTGATTCAAACTTTCTGTAAGAGTTGATCGTAATAAAAACTAAAATTCCGGCTAAAATACGATTCCTTTCAAAATTTAAGCTACTTTAAATGCTTGATTTTGCTTTTTGGGTTTGATATCTCAAAAATAAGCCACCAAAATCTTGCATAAAGATAAGATACGCCCCCAAGTGTGGAAATTGCTTTAAATTTCAAAATTTTACAGGAAATCTCTTTTGATTTGCTGCCAGTAATTCTACAAAATTTAGTGAAATTTATTAGAAAAATTTCAATTGAAATTGATGATACGGTTTTTGAGAAAAATTGAATCAAAAGTATGAACAAAATATAGTTGTCAACCTCTTTCTTCTCCTTTGTCTTTCCTATTTCTTCTCCTTCAAACTAGGCGTCGATGGCTCAGTGGTAGAGCATCTGCCTGTGGTCGGCGGTGGGTCAAGGGTTCGATTCCCCTCGGTTCCAAATTCTTTTCTTTTTTAGTCATAAACTCACCATTGATGCAATCATTCCACCAGTCAAAATGTAGAAGATTCCAGCCACTTTCGAAAGATTCAGTGACGCCGAAAGTCCATCCTTAAAATAAAGCTCTTCCACCATTCTCACATAAAGCAACACTCGTTTTTAGCATGAAAGCAAGGATCACAAGGATCACTAGACTATCAAAATCTTTTATGCATAAGAAATAGAGTAAAGCTAGAGAACACACAATACCAAGCAATGTCTAAAGTCACGATGGGTACCTCCTGAAATATTAGGGTTTAAATTTCTACCCACTAGACAAGTCCAATAATAAGCAACAAGTAAAATAGTGTTGATAGGAATGCAAAGTACAAGTTTCATGTTAAATTTTCAAATTTCATTCGCTTGTTTCCATTTCCCAACCCACTCACCACTTGGATTCCCGTTTCGCATTTCGCTCGATCGTACCACCATTTTATCTCCAACTTTTTCAGCTCACCCTTTTCTTGTAAAGCAAGAATGGCCAAATTGATGTGATCTCTGGAATTTGGGTTTGTTTTTGAAGCTTTGAAAAGTCTTCACTTCCAATCCGAGCCGAACGGAGTCGCCACACCATAGCCAATGCTGTTCAAATTTGAGCCTAAATGTGTTTTCAATTATTGTATCAATCAAATATTACTACCGTAAATACTGTAATAGCGCCTCGCCGTCATAATGACGATGCGTGAGTGTCGCGTAGTCTAGCTTTGAGCGCGCTTTTCTTGACATTGTTTTATGCTACATGTTTTATGCTAGTGTGCGCCTTTTGTCACATAAAATAGATGAGATTCAGCGCTATTTTTTGATCTCAAAGACGCATCTTTTGAGAATATTAGGTTGGAAAGAAAGTTCTCAGAAAAAGTTTGCACGGTGATTTCTCAAAAATAAAGCTATGAATTCTTCCCAGATTTTTTGATAAAATTAACTATATTTCAAAAAGCTTTGGACAAAAAAAAGATCAGAGTGGGCTTCAGGCAAAAAATAAGAGATTTTTTCAGCTGAAGTGACTTGGTCACTTTTTGAGTGACCAGCCTCTAGACAAGTTTTTAAATGGGTTAATGAATAGGCAATGTGCCCCATTCAAAACCTAAAATCAAGTACTTAAAATAGGAAAAACTTGTGATTAAGGCAAATTTTGTCTAATGTTTTTTTTTTTAACTTTTCAGAATCACCTATTTTAGCAAACACTCCAGTGCCAAGAAGATACCACGAAAAAAAAATGATTTTTTTTTTAAAATACAGCTTCTCTGTTAAAAAATTTTTGACCAAAAATAGAGATTATAGAGCGTATTGCTCATTTATGCTAGCTTTACCTCATAAGGAATCGTTTTTCTTGTGCAAAAAGTATGATTGAACCCTTGCTTTACTTTCTGGCAATTGCTCTAACCAAGCTATCCGGTAGCTTGACTTGTTGAAGAAAACATCCGTTAGATTGGCAAGAAAATTCTCGGCAAAGGTTTGCAGGGTGATTTCTCAAAAAGCAATCCATAAATTCTTCCTTTTAAATAAAGTGAGCTGAATTTAACCTGGAAAATAATCATTTTTCAGATATCTCTGAAATTTTAAAGGAAAGCTGCAATCATTTTTTTACGTGTAATTTCTTGGAGTCGACTTGTAAATAATAGCACAAATTGTTCTCGAATTGGTGGTTTCGTTTTTAAGAAATTCCAGTCAAACTTTTTCCGAGAACTTTCTTTCCAACCTAATAGCTTCCGATTACCACTCGTAGTGATTTGTGAGAAAAGGGACAAGTGGCTGAGTGTTCAGTTTACATTCTTCAGCCATTCGTTTTTGATATCATTGGAGAATCTCGGTGTCGACGAGTGGAGACAAGAGAATATAGAAAAGAAAAGAGAAAAGCTCACGAAGAGAGGCGAAAAGAGGCAGCGCTTTGAAAAAAATGAAATAACAAAAAAACTTTTGCGGTTACGCGACTGGACGAGGTGATTGGGCACTATTATAGTATTTAATAGATTAATGCTATTACTAGTACAGTATTACTATTACAGTAGTAATATCAGTAACCTATTAAATTTCAAGATTCATTCCCAAAGTACTCACCGACTTTCATCGTATCACAGGGAATCTTTGTGTTCTCGTATTCATTCGCAGTCGCCTCAAGAAGAAAAGCGTATCTACCTAAAACTAATTTATTTTAACATTTTAAGCAAAAGAAATTATTGATTTTAATCCACCTTTACTACTCCGAACGCGTTCAATTCCTTCAGTGTAGTTGGCGACAAAGACTGGCGGCACCTTTAAAAGTAATTTAATTCTCAGTCTCAAGTAGAGTGTGCTCCTTGTTGACAGACAATTTGTCAGACAAATTTTTATTGACAACGTTTTTGTCAGACAATTGATCCGACAAACTTCCGACAACGCGTTTTCTAAAAGGTGCGCTTTTTAAGCAAAGCTATAAGGGTCGCAACCGTCCGTTTGTTTCCACAAGCTCTGATTTGCCAAAATTTCGATTCTACGCCCTAAAATTACCTAGAAAAACAATTTTTGGAATAGAAATTGGTTAATATTAGCTTTTAGAGCTTTTTTAAAACGCGAAAAAAGGTGCGCTAATGGGCAAAGTGCGCAAATGTTCGGGTACGCAAAAAAAAACTCGCATTTGTCCCACTCCCGTACATTTGCATTTTGAAAAATTTGCTGATGCGAAGCATAGGGTTACGGTAGCTTATCCTTGGTGCGCGCTTTTTAGAAAACGCGTTGTCTGCAAGGAACACACTCTAGTCTCAAGTATTCCGAAAAAGTGACAATATTTAGCAAAGACTGAATAACTTTTTTAGTGATAGACTTTCTTTAACAAAATGAAAGATATTCAGTAGACATGGGCCTCGAATCACGAGTCAAGTCGAGTCGTGTCGAGTCGCTTTCGAGTCACGACTCGACTCGGATTCGAAACTCGACTCGGATTCGAAACTCGACTCGGATTCGAAACTCGAATCGGATTCGAAACTCGACTCGGATTCGAAACTCGACTCGTGACTCCCCTCGAGTCACTCTTTTTTAAAACACCCATGTCTAATATTTAGCTACCTGTGACTCCATATATCGCCACATTCGATGAAAAATCTGTACCGAACTGTGCTTGAAAAATTGAGCCGTCGATCCGCCTAAAGGAACTTAGAAAAAAAAGCAAATCTAATTGCTTTACCCGCTTGAATTCCGTATTTGATTTTTGATTGTTTAGCTAAATCTTCAACGCTTTCGATTGGTGCCTAAGGAGAAATGGATACTGAGTATTTAGCACGGAAATTGTCAAAAAAAACCTGCATCTTTTCAAGAGTTAAAAAAGCGGCTAAATTGGCGGTGTAGGACGAGACGATGATCATTGTGAAAAACCACCAAGCCGATGATGCAATTCGACCAGAAATTGATCTAAAAAGAGTTTTTCTTTTTTTTTTACACTCCAATAATTGTTGATTCTTTTTTAAATCTAGCAAACCTTGGCAAAATATCCGTGCCTTGCTGCATGAAAGCGGCCAGAGTAAACCAAAGACAATTGTACACCGAAAAGTCGTTAGAGATTGTGAAACTGAAAAGATTTTCGAAAGTTTAAACTTTTTAAAGTCTTTCTATCTTTTTCGAAGTTTAAAAGTTCAAATGTCGAATATTTTGGTAAACATGGTAGGCACTTTATGCAAAAGTTGCTGCCAAAGAGGCATGCGTGCTTCAAATTCAAATTCTAAAACTCAAAAGCTCTCACCCTCCTCTAGCCGTTTCCTCAACTCTCCACTCATACGGAGAAAATCTTGATACCAAGAAAATCACCACAGACACCTCGAATATAAAATTTTTATCATATAAACTTCTAAACTTACTCCAACATAAGCAAAAATAATGTACATCCAAATCTCTGAAGATAGAGGTCTCATAAAGGAGAAGACTGATGTTTCCTGAAAAAAGTTTCTTTGAAACGTTGAAACAATTTCTTTCACACCTTGTTCTCTGGCTTTCTGATCATAATTGAGATGCCGGTTGTCATGAATGGCTTTGAAAAGTCAACAACTCGTTCTCGATCCTGAAATCATATCCATTTTGAGGATTTTTTTTTTGGATTCAATTGAATATGGGTTTAGAATCGAAAAGTACACATGATTCAGTGTGAATAATGTGACTCAAATGCACAACCATACTGCTCTACTGCTCTAATACCCTTAAAGATCTTACAGAGAATTCATGTATATGGAAAACTCAGTCGACTCGACTCGTGACTCGACTCAACTCGTGACTCGACTCGACTCGTGACTGTGTGAATAATTTGATTCAAATGCACAACCATACTGCTCTACTGTTCGAATACTCTTAAAGATCTTACAGAGAATTCATGTATATGGAGAACTCATGTATTTTCTAGCAGCTGGGATTGAACCCGATCGCGATCCAACTCGCGACTAGAATACAAGACTACTAGCCAGTCGGCCATGCCGGAACAAAGCTAGTTTGAAACTAAACAAAGCCAAGCTATACAAGACAATACTGTTCTTAATTTGAAGATTATAATAGAGAATCTTTTTGAAAACTTACTTGATTTATTGTTAGCGAAGCGACAGCCACATCGGCATTCCCATTTAACAATTCCCCAATCATTCCATCCCAAGATCCATCAGCTCTCTTTGATCCCGTTTTCTCACTAATTCTGATCTCATACCGAAAATCGGGAATCCTTTCTGCTAACAACTAAAACTATCCAGTTTTCAGTTAAAAAACTCCTCGAACATCCAACAAGTCGATACAATAACCCTCAAATTTATTGTTTCCAAGACATTCCGTTCGATTGTTCCCATCTCTGCACTCATCTTTTTCCATTGCAAATGGATCTACCTAGATTTAGCTTTAAGCTTTAGGTTTTAAGCTTTAAGCTTTAAGCTTTAGGCTTTAGCTTTAGGCTTTAAGCTCTAGGCTTTAAGCTTTAGGCTTTAGGCCTTAAGCTTTAGGCTTTAAGCTTTAGGCTTTAAGCTTTAGGCTTTAGGCTTTAAGCTTTAAGCTTTAAGCTTTAGGCTTTAAGCTTTAGGCTTTAGGCTTTAAGCTTTAAGCTTTAAGCTTTAGGCTTTAAGCTTTAGGCCTTAAGCTTTAGGCTTTAAGCTCTAGGCTTTAAGCTTTAAGCTTTAGGCTTTAAGCTTTAAGCTTTAGGCCTTAAGCTTTAGGCTTTAAGCTCTAGGCTTTAAGCTTTAGGCTTTAAGCTTTAGACTTTAAGCTTTAAGCTTTAAATAAATAAGATTGCTTACAATCGTTGTCACAACTCGAACCACACGATCAGCTCGACTCTCTAAATGTTTTCGACTGTGATCAGCGATTGCTTTGTCAACAAAGAAACCATGTCCTTGTCGCCAGATCAAAATCTTTAATTTAATTACAATTCAATTTTCAACTTCTTTCCAACTTCTTTCATATTAAAAGCGCTTTTGATATTCGAGACAAGATCGATGACTCGACTCTCGTATCGAATTCTTTGACCTCGAGTCCCAAATTCAATATTCCCAGTGAGTACCCCTTCAGCTGCACCAAGTCTTAACTAAATTTTATGATGTTAAAAGGATTTTTTGAAAGTGTTTTAACCGCTCTCATAGCTTTCACAATGGTGATACCATGCTCAAATGAAGCAAACGGTCTCCCAGGATGACCCCGATCAGCTGATGGGTCACAATAAATCCCTAAAATGTATTAGCAAAAAAAGCCTGAGCTTTCAAAGTACCTTCATAGCCTCGATTGTAAAATTTTCCATGTCGAAAAGTGCCATGAAAGAGAGAATCATTGTGAAGAAGAGCTCGCGAGAAACCCCACCAAGCCACAGTCATTGCATCATGAGCGAATCCGATATGAGCCTTGGAAAACAAATTACTTCTGAATAATCATTTTCTCCTTACCGGAAGATCATCGTAATTGTTTTCAATCTGATCTCGATCCTGTTCTTTTCGTAGATATCTTCATTTTCTTTTTAATCTCAATGTTTCATTTAGAAAATCACCGTTTTAAATGGAATAAAGATCTTTGATCTCGATCGATGATTTGAAAGCCGGTAATATTAATGTTTCCATGTTGGAAAAGATCAATGTCGTACGGAAGAAAGTCCTGAATGTTAAAAGATTGAATCTTACTTGGGCAAGACACTTTTAACTGATCTTTTGACTCGAGACCAAGTCCATCTTAGAGTCGGCTGTCGGGATCTCGAATCCGTTTTTACTTTTTGCAGAACGCTTCCCAAATGCGAGATACTTGGCATAGAAAATCACCTTATGACACACGCCACAGCTGCCTCGATGGTCTAGTGGATAGTCTGCTGGGCTCTACCAAACTTCGCACACTTTTTGTCCCCAAGTTCGAGTCCCAATGTCGCCAAACTTTTGACGAGATTGGGACTCGAACTTGAGAGCAAAATATGTAATAGATTTGACAGCCTGGCAAACGATCCACTGGACCATCGAAGCAGTTGTTGAGGGAGCGTCTGACGGCTTCTTAACAAGTCCGTAATTTGAATCTCTCTGCAAGTGCAAGTTTTCGAAGTGTTCTGCAAACAGTAAAATTGATTCGAGATCCCATGGACTCTATCAGATGGATTTTGTCTCAAGTCAAAAGGTCAGCTTGACTCGTTGTCTTTTCCTTGTCCGAAAAAAAGCTCACAAAGTTTGCCACAACATAGTGATAGTTAGCCTGATTGAATTGAGCAGAACGAATAGCCATCAAAAAGCGTTTCATCCTTGAGGTGGATGTTGAATCGATCAATATTCTGAACGTTTGGCAAGTATTGGGTTGGTGAATTGAAAACTGCCGGCTATTGTCATATGTGACAGTTTGAGCACTTTCTTCAAAAGAAACCCATTTTGGTGTCAATGGAAAAGTTGTAGAGAATCAAAAATTAAACTTATATCCAAATTTTCAGAACGATTCAAAAACTGGTTTTCAAGAAATGCGAAATTTACGAATTTTCACAAAACTTGCATTTTAAGCGAAACTACTAAGTGTATCTTTTTGGAAATTTGGCTATAAGCCTCATTTTTGATTCTCTACAACTTTTCCATTCACACCAAAATGGGTTTCTTTTGAAGAAAGTGCTCAAACTGGGACATCTCCAGTCCTCCATTTTTGAGTCTCACACTTGTCTCACGCACAAACCAAAATCAAACCAAAATCCTACTACGAAAGAGGAATTCGCAAATTGCCTGTAAAATGGGCAGAAGTCGTCAATAATAATGGAAATTATTTGGAGTGAATTGATGGTTTTATGTTGAATAAATTTTAGTTCAAAGTCCGGCAGTTTTCAATTCACCAACCCAATAGATAAAGTTTATTCATTTTAATCTAGTATTGAATGGATTTTAAATATTAAAATGAACCGATTCGTGTAATTGTTGCGTCTCAAGTTGAACTCTCGTAGAAATTGCTCAAAGTGATTTTCATCAGCAGGCATTTCGATGAGTTGAGCCGTCACAGAGACGTTCGACTTGTGGTGAAGGTGTTGCCAAAGGAGTGGAAGAGAGACTCCTTCTAGAAGACAATATTTCCTATGATGTTGGCTGTTGCCGACATTGGCTAAGAGTCCTGTCTCTTGTTCGGGAGATCAAGGGTTCGATCCCGTTCTTTTGTCCATATTTAGGGTTTTTTCCCCTAGATTTCCCTTTTAAATAGCCATTTCAAATAGCCAGTGAACGACTTCTTTCAAATATTTGAAAGAAGTCGTTCACTGGCTATTCTCTAGCTCGAAAATCTCTAGTTTTCTCAGTCTCTAGTTTCTTTCTATCTTTCCTTTTTCTTGTGTATTATTTCTACTGTATTATTCGTGTGAATATGTATTTTATCTAGAAACGTACGATGTTTTAAGTCAGAGACAAGGATGACGTTCGTCCATCCCTTTAACACAATTAGATCGGCGAGCAGCTCGCACGGTGACGGACGAATCGCCAACTCAAAACTGGAAAGGAAAAAAAATTGAATCTATTTCTTAAATCGAAGAGTCAATGGTTTAAGGATAGTTCTATCTTTGACAAACCCGATGGTGTTGATTTCTGATTGAGATCCGTGCGGAGATGTGGTGATCAGCGGGAGTTCAAGGGTGTCCGCCAAACCTCTAAAACTTTAGGAATAAGTTTTTCACTCAGGATTCTTATTTTGTGGGTGGGTTGGAGTTATTCTTTTTCTTGAATCTACCTTGAAATTTGGGTTTAATTGCTCTGAGCTTTTTGGATTGATTTCGGAAACTTATTAGCTGATTTTGGTGAGCTGATTGCTGATAAGGTGAAGCTGATAAGCTGAGCCGATAAGCTGAGCCGATAAGCTGAGCCGATAAGCTGAGCCGATAAGCTCAGCCGATAAGCTCAGCCGATAAGCTCAGCTGATAAGCTTTAAGATTATCGAAATCCTTTTTTTGATGAACATACCGAAGTGCTTCAACGGATCCCCCTCCATCAACGCTAATCAATCCCATTGATCCATCTTTTAGCGTCTCGCAAACTTTATTCAACATTGATTTTTATTGATAACGATTTTTGTAAACCTGATTCCACAAGTTTCCATGCCTCATTTGGTCCCGTTTCTATTATATGTGGATCATGAGATAAACTGTAACAAATTGAATTGAGAATTTAGACTCGATGAAACCGAAATGGATTCTCTTCTCGTCCATTGATCTCTTCCTCAGCATATTGTAAAGCTTTCAACGAATTCTCGGCATCATCCGTTCTAGCTGTGAATGATTCTGAAATGATTTCACATAATTCACAAAAACTCGCTTCACTTACTAATGATGATCTTCGACGGATATCCATAAGAATAAAGAAAAAGAGAAATCACGAGCAATGGGGAAAACATTATGAAATACACATAGCAAGTGAGTTGTCAGTGGATGAAGGCAAGAAGGGACGGAGAAGGGGATGAAGAGGATTGTGAAGGTGTACGGGGAGTCTCTCTCCTTGAACAGACCCTATGAGGCGAGTCAAGAGGCCGCCACAAGGCATCCAATCCAATTTGGACGTCCAATCAACCCCCGAAAGACGAAAGGGCCGCTCTTCCCCAAGTGCGAGTACCCCTGCTTCTCCTTTTTCCGCCCCATCCACCTATTTTGAGGTCTTTATCTATTGGAAACCTTTTTCAGCACAGAAAACGGTTAGCTGACGTTGTAGTTGACAGATGGATTTGAAGATTAGATAAATTGTCAGAAAACTAATCCGTTAATAGGAACACATTGTTGTCTATGTGTCAAGCAGATGTCAGAAAGCTTGGCACATAGACAACAATGTATTCCTATTAACTAATCTAAAAGGCACCTATTTAAGAAAACCATCAGATTCAACGTTTACATTTGATCCGATTTTGATATCATTCGGGTGACAAGGAAATGACACGAGCCGAAAGTTCAGAATAGCGTTTCTTTAATCATAAACGAACTTTTGAAAGAAAATGCAATGACAATGTTGCCAAGAGTGTTTTCCTCTCAAGTAACCTCTCAAGCGTTTTCTAAAAAGCATCTATTTGAGAAGATTACCGTATTCAAAACGTAAATTTACATTTGATCCGATTTTGGTATCATTGACTGACAAGAGAATGACACCAACTCGAAATTCAAAATAGCTTCGTGCATCTCATAGAATCGACTATGCTGATTTTAAATCTGTAAAAATTATCTCCAAACACCAATCGCAAGGAACCTGGCATAGGAAAAATTCTCTTAAATTTAGAACTCTTCATGGGGCTGCAAAGCAACTTTTCAACAACTTCTGTGGTCTAGCGGATAGTGTGCTAGCCTACGAAGCTCATAAAGTTTTACGACTTGGGGTTCGAATCCTCTGCTGGTCAATTCTTTTTCTAATGTCTTTTCATGAAATATTTATGTTTTATACACCATTTCACAACTTCGAACGGCGTTTATAAAAATTGAAATGCATTTGCATAAAACGATTCTGAACTTTCGGCTGGTGTCATTTCCTTGTCACCCAAATGATATCAAAATCGGATCAAATGTAAACGTTGAATCCGATAGTTTTCTTAAATAGGTGCCTTTTAGATTAGTTAATAGTCGTAAAACTTTATGAGGTTCGTTTACTATTACAGTATTTACGGTATTTCCTTACAATCAGGTTTTTAACAGTATTATGTTTGTAGAAGCTTGCTTCTCGCCGTGCAGCGTCGACCCGCTATTGCACTTATTGCAGGGATCGGCGCACAGCCTTACTGTCCCCCCCTCAGTGATGGGAGACAGTAGTATTGTAGCTTTCACAAATTGAAGTAAGCTTTAAAAGCGCCTTTCAAATAGTTATTCGTTCACTTCTTTCAAATATAACTCGAAAATTCAGTCTCTAGTTTCTTTTTATCTTTCTTTCTTCTTTCTTCTTTCTTTCTTTCTTCTTTTTTCTTTCTTTTTTCTTTTTTCTTCTTTCTTCTTTCTTCTTTCTTCTTTCATATTTATTGCGTGCTCAACTTACCGTACCCAACGAGAGACGCAAAGAAAACTAGACAAGTAGACAAAGAAAAACATGATCCAGCTGATAAGACAAAGGAAATTATCTCTCTGCCTCCTTGCTTTATTTACTTACAGATTTATTTGAGCAATTATGACGGTAAGTAAGTAAATTGCTATTATAAACAGTTTTGATAAATAGACATTGGTTTTCGAAATGGAAATGACGTGTGAGGGATGTGCAAATGCGGCGCGGAAAGTTCTCGGAAAATTGGGAGGTGAGAAAAAGAAGAAAATCTTGAATCAACGTTCAATTCTCTTTTTTCATTTAAACTTTTCATTTCATTCTTTCAATTTCTTTCATTTCAACTTTTCATTTACTTTATTTCATTCATTCATTTGGCTATATTGTACAAAAATGAACTTTGAATGTTAACTACAAATTCCGATTTATCCAGCCCAGTGACACGTCATTGAATTTCTTATCAAGAAAAAGAAAAAGTTGATCTTCAGTCTTGTTTCAGAGTTGAGAATGGCATTTTAACAGAATTGAATCTAGGCTAACAATAAATTAAAGAAAATCAATTTAAATCAAATTTCAATTTAAATCAAAATCAATTTCCAGATAAAGTTCACGTGGAAAACATTGATGTGAAGACGAAATTGATCACGCTAAAATCGAGTATCCCGGCCACAGAAGTGCAAGAAGCTTTGGAGAAAACCGGCAAAAAGATCACACTCATTAGTGCGTAAAACCTTTGGTACTTTTGAATTAAAACATTTGGTACTTTTCGGGACACTATATTTTTTCCAAAATCACTTTTTCTAGGGTAGTTTTTTGCGTAGATTACGAATTTCATAGTGGGAGCTTAGGAAAATGCGTTTTAGAACGATTTTCCGAGGCTTGAAATTGTCGTCACTATAGTGTAAATGTAATGTTCCTATAAGACACAGAATGACACAAAAGGAGCTTAATTCAAGATGGTTTTTCTTTATACAAGTTCGCAGTGAAATATACTGTAGGCTCCACGAAAGTCGTTCTAAAAAGCATTTTCCCAAGCTCTCACTATGAAATTTCGTGATCTACGTAAAACAAAAACTACTCCAGAAAAAATGGTTTTGGGAAAAATAGTGCCGCCCCCCAACCTCACAAGTATCAAATCTTTATCTTAATACTTACCGTAAATACTGTAATAGTACCCCCACCCGCATAATGACGGTGCCAAGTGTTGCGTAGTCTAGCTTTGGACGTGCTTTTCTCGACACTGGTTTATGCTACAATGCGCGCTTAGGTATCAAAAAATAGCCCGGCATTTCAGCTATTTTTTGATACCAAAGACGCATTTTTTTGAAAGTACGGGCGCTTTGAAAAAATGAAATTTTAAAAAACTTTTGCGACTACGCGACTTTACGAGGGGATCGGGTACAATTAGAGTATTTACGGTAAGTATTTCAATCGACCTTTACCTACTGTTCTATACTTATGCCAAAACTATTTCTCTGTACCCATTGCGAATCTGTGATTTTCATTGAGCTTTGGTTAGTATTATTTTGAGATTTCGAAATGTAAGACATTCCTTTATCACTTTTTTTTGGGTTTTCTGGTGGTTGATCTATAACAAAATTTCTACCGGTTTCTGCTTTTTCTTGCTTTCTTCATATCATTTTTGTCTAAAGGGTTTATAAATGCATTTTAAAGATAACCATAATAATATTTCAAGAAAAAAAATGACAGAAATCAAATGGAAATCAAAATTTTAAAGAAAATTTTACAATACTGATCAGCTGAAGGGACAATACTGATCAATGCTTTACTGATCAATGCTTTACTGATCAATAGCAATCAATTGTGTGCTTTACTCAACAAACTTCTGACTTTAAGAAAGCAGAAGTTGAATGTGAATAAAGAAAAAGAAGAAGTGGTGAAGAACACATGCGAATTCAGAATGAAGTCACATTGATTATGTAAATTGATGAGCCTTTGGTCCTCCTCTTGCTGTCCCGTGTGCTTCTTTTTCTTTTCCTTTTTCATATGTCCCCAGCAGCACCATTTTGTTCTCTCTATTTTACCATTTTACTATCTAGTTATTTTTCTTGTTTATTTAGTCTAACTTAAGATGAAGTTAACCCTATAGAATGGCATCTTGATAGAGTTTGACACGAGGAATCCGAATCCGTTTTTCGTTTTTCCTGTGGACGTCTCAATCGCTAGATATTTGACATCAAAGTTGGAATCTAGAGCGCTCTATAGCCAAGGAAAACACTTTATGGTGTCGAGATAACGCAGCGGATTTATAGACAAACTATCATGGTTCGGAGCCGGCTAGTGCCAAATTTTCTTTGCCGAAAAGATCTGTACATAGTATAAAATGTAGCTAAACTAATTTAAACTCACTTTCAATCAAATAATCATTTAAATCGCATGTTTGTTTCATATTTTGCTGTTATATTGCTTTGTGTTTGATTCGTGTCGTCGCGAATGTGTTTAATGAATGAATGAATGGCTCCAATCGATTCCTCAATCCCGAAAACCCCCGGGTACGAATTTACAGCTCAATAGCTTCTTTTTGTATCATCTACAATGCTAAAGAAAATCCCTATGTAAATGACTGGCTGTGTTCTTTGTGCGGTGTAATCGCTTGCCGCCTGGCAAACCGTCCCGGTCTAAGGTGTTTCCCTTTTGGAACCTCTAACATGGAAGGAGTTTGGAAGGAAATTACTTCCCGCTCCACCATACCCAAACTCCCGGATGAATCCCTGCCCCGAATTTGGCTGTATTTTTATTGCAAATTCAATAGCCCATCATTGGCCCAATTTTGGGTTTTTTTTTTCCACAAGTTCGAAATCATCTTAAGCCAAAGCTGACTGAAATACTCAAGGATTAAACTGACCTGAAAAGCAGTTTTCATCGTTTAATACCTGATAAGTGATTGATAAACCAATTTACTTTAGTGATTTCTGCAAAATCTCATCGAAAATGAAACTACTACATGCCGAGAACTTGGTTTTAGTGAAAATTCGACCTCTCCTTTAATCAATCACTCATGAAAAGATTAAAGACAATAAAAGAAAACAAAGTAGAACTTTGTAGATACTCAACGAAAAAGAGAGATGAAATGGGAGTCTCTAGATTCTCATCATGTGGTCATTTTTTAGTAAATGATAGTGAACTCGATAAAATGTCTCCAAAATGGCATTCACGAGAAGAGAAAAGGGAGAGAAAGTCGAGACAAATCGAAGGACGATATACAGTGTGGAATCTAGCGATTGTGAGCATAAATGGGCGAGAGAAAGAGAGCCTTTTTCCCCTTCTTCTCCCTTTTTCCTCATCTATCTTTTCTCTCTTCTTTTCTTTCTTCTCGACTCAAATTTACAGCTAAATAACTTCTTTTTGTATTATTTTCAATGAAAAAGAGAAAACTCTATGTAAATGATTGGCGAGATTGGCGCACAGCTTTACTGTCCCCCTCAGTGATGGGGGACAGTAGTATTGTAGCTTTATTGCTAGTAGCTTGAGGGGTTACTTGAGAGGAAAACACTCTTGACAAAACACTATTTCCTCACAATCAGGCTTTTAACAGTATTATGTTGGTAGAAGCTTGCTTCTCGCCGTACAGCGTCGGCCCGCTATTGCACTTATTGAAGGGATCGGCCAACAGCCTCAGTGATGGGGGACAGTAGTATTGTAGCTTTCATAAATTGAAGCAAGCTTTAAAAGCGCCTTTCAAATAGTCATTCGTTCACTTCTTTCTTCTCGACTCAAATTTACAGCTAAATAACTTCTTTTTGTATTATCTGCAATGAAAAAAGAGAAAACTCTATGTAAATGATTGGCGAGATGTTCTTTATGCGATCGGGTAATTCAAAAACTTTGTGAACTTAATCACCTCAATCCTACATGCATCACCTTGCATTTTCCCAAAATTTTACCCCCAAATTCTTTGACCGCAAAACAAAGCGAAGTGAATCGGATGTGTGCGAAGGGATTTCCTTTCCCATTGTGCACATTGAAGAGGCCAATTTTTATGCAAAAATTTATCGAAACCACTCTCAGATGAATTACGCGTCTCCATTCACCTCCTTTACCCCATATTCTCCTTCACTTCTAAAAATATCTCTTGCAAGTACGGCTATTTATAAGCTGTTTTTCTTTTTTGCTTTGTATGTAGAAAAAGTTTTGGTTTTAATTGATATTAATTTAGAGATACAGTTGACTCTTTATAACGGAACTCTATATAACGAAAGGCTATATAAAACTTTCCAGCTAGATAAAACTACCCAGCTAGATAAAACTTTCCAGCTAGATAAAACTTTCCAGCTAGATAAAACTTTCCAGCTAGATAAAACTTTCCAGCTAGATAAAACTACCCAGCTATATAAAACTTCCCAGTCCCAGCCGACGCTAACCTATATAAGACGGTACTCTATAGAACGGAAAAATCTTTTTAATCCCTTCCATTCCGTTATAGAGAGTCGACTTGAACCACCAACTTCACTATTCAATTTTCATTTCTCTCAAAAAGTTCCTTGCCGAGTAGACGAAAAGTTTCCCCCCTCCAAAACATCTATAGTTTTCTGAGACATTTTATAGCCCCATTTATTGGTCCTCCCATCGCATTCTTGTGCTCAACTCATTATTAGGCGTTGAGGGGCTTCATATGGAGAAGGCCCTTTCCTTTGGACCACACCTCTTCTTCTTCTTCTTCACTTCTCTTTCAATTGCTCCCATCTTTTTCAATCTAATCATATTGAGCTACTGGAGCTCAGCCAGTCGACAAAACTTTTTCCTGTGTTTATCCCTTTACTTGATGTTTTTATCAGATTCTTACCAGATCAGCTGATATTTTTACCAGATTTAACATTACCAGTTTTACCAGATTTTCTTTGTATTTGTAGAGGAAATGATTATATTTTAAGTAGTTTCAGGAAGTTTTAAATAATATTAGCTAAGTAGCCTCTATTTCTATTTTAGATCACTGATTGATCTACATTAGATTAACAGATCGTTTAATCAGTTGACAAGATTGATCCTTGTCAAATTCAGATAAAGATATTTCTGTACAAGTTCACAAAAACATTTCTCGATCGTTATTGAAATCCAGCTAAAATTTGAGCTTTACATTAGCAAGAACTTTATAAAATATATCCAAAACCTAACAATGATCATTAAAGATAAGCTTATCTTCAATAATCGTTGTTAGAAACCAATAAAACATTCATTCTTTCTCAGTGATCAGAAAGTTGGCAAAGCTCTACTGAAAACAAAGTAGCTGTAAATCTTGAAACGAGGATTTGAATTGTTTCCGATTTAGTGAATGGTGAAGAGGGGACTGAGTGAGGGGATGCTCAGTGCCCGTACTCCTCGAGCCCCTCGAACTCGCGAAATTCAATATCCCGTGTGCATGAAAGGGAAGGGGAAGTCGCGCAGACCTCAGCCTCTCCTTTTTCCCCCCACCTCTTCAAAAACTCTTTCTTTCTCATCTGTTACTGATGAAACTCGAGACACTTGACAATTCTTTCCCAAATCATCATTCTTTTTCACTTGTCTATCAACAACACATCTCTCAGTTGAGCCTCGAAATCGATTGTTTCAGAATTTCAGAATTTTCAGAATTTTCAGAGATTTTTGTCTATTCTTAGGAAAGCTGTTGCAGCTTTTGCAGCCTGGCTCAGCTCCATATGCGTTTAGGTGTTCGTAGGGCCGTAAACTGCTCTAGAAATGAGGCTTCTTATACAAATACGCGAAAAAA